GCTCATGACAAGAGGTTTAAAAGACAATATTATAACCCCTTCGTCCTAAATTCCAGGTTTCAAAATTCTACTCACAAGCATACATCATTTAATAAGGGACATTACTGTCTTTTATTCTTAAACTTAATCTATGCTAAACAACATAAAAGGACAACTATATTGGGACGGGGGAGTAGCTAACAGAGTGAAAATCAAAGGAGTAACGAATTTAGTAGTGTCACTGTCGATACACCTAATTTAACACCATAATATCTCCAACTCTCCACAACACAAGGACTGCTGATAAAATAAATGCACTTCTTTAGGAGAATAATGTGCTCATCAAGGCCATGTACAAAATATTTCTCCAAAAAGTTCAACAAAGGTTCCAGGTACCCGTACAGCAAGCTATATCAGGAATGGAGTCCAATGCGTTACCTTCATATTTACACCACTAACTTCGAATCAAGTGCGGCCGCAACGTTTGCCTCTCCAGCATCCTATTTTCCAACAGATTGCTCAGCATTTCACATAAAGTAAATAACAAATATACTGAAATGGAGCAAAGACGTACCTCCATCCCCCATTTGATGTAGTCTGGTGATTCGCAAGCCTTGTACTCATCAACTAAGCTCTCTATTATTTCTCGAGATTCATCAAATTCAGAGAGATCATTGTCCTGTATAGAGAGGCCAAAACGTTGAGTATTTTGGACAGAATAATGGACAGGTTTCCTCACAAGATCATATATAGTACTGAAAGCATTTCACTTCAAGAAAAACAAGAAACTTATAGTGCTACAGTTCATGTTTGTTTTATACTTTAATGTAAAATTGCTAGTGGAATGTTCAAAATTGTTGGTGTCAAACAGGTTTTGAACAGGGAATTACATTGTAGCACTTCAAACATACCTAGTTTAACCAGAAACTTCAAATTTGGAAATTACTCAGGTAATGAAAATGGATGAAATTGAAGGAATAGAGTTTCTTACCTCAAACATTGGGAACTTTCTGTAGTTGTCAAGAAAAGCTTGCTTTTTCCTTAGCTTTTCATACTGTCCCAGGCATTTGCTGAATAAGTGACGGATACTAGTATGATTCGCCAGCATCAATCCACTAACCTGTAGACAAACATTAGTGATTCAAACATTGCACTTGAATTGACAAAAAAAAAGATAGTGAGAGAGTGAGAGAAAGGTACCCTATGCGTGGTTTGTACATATGGAGATTTTCTTGATAAGGCAACCTGTGGCAGTTGAAATAACAATAAATCAATATGTCAAAAAGGTTTAACCTAAAATTATTCTAGTTGTATAATGACCTGAATGCTTGCAGGTCCCCACTCAATGAAGTTAACAAGCTTCCTTTCACGTATCCTTTGTAGGCTCTCATGGACCTAAATGCATGAGAATACCAAAAGATAAGAATGGAATGAACAAGCAATTCCAAAGGATCAGAAGAACGAGATCTTCATTCTGCTTCAGAACTAGGCAAATTTCATTTCAATATTCCAGCTGCTATGGATAAAGCTAAACTAATAAACCCATTTAACAGAACTTTACCTGTGTAGGATCCACCTCTCCCTGAATGATGTTAAGTATGGAGATGTATTTAGCCTGACTAGCTTCCTTATTTCGAGCATATGATGACACCATTATATTTTTGGTCTGCAAGACAACAAATAAAGGTCCAAAATTTAAATTTCATAAAGATCATAAAGTGGCAAGCATCCTATTCCTAAGGAAGCAAAGAATACCTGCAGAAGTCGCCTCATAACATCTAATACTGTTGTCTTGCGTATCATGTTAACCTGCAATTGAGCATATCATTATATCATGAACTGAATTTTTCCCCATTTGTCACAAAAGAAGGCAGGGAAAGTAATATGTATTTGACATAGTATATACTAGTCTACCAACCCCCAAACTAAACTCAAGAAAAGTAGTTACTAAACAGATAAAATGTGAAATCAAATGTTACATGAACCAATGCAACAAATATGATCAAATCACCTGTCGTTCAACAGTCAATGGAGTGTAACCTGTCATCAGAAAATGACACCTTGGAGTAGGGATCAAAGAGGCAAGAAGGCCAACCAGGTCATTGTTCATATATCCAGGATACCTCAGAGTAGTTGTGCTTGCAGACATAACTGTTGAGACCAAAGAGTTTGTTTGTGCAAAAGTAGGATTTGCTAAATGAAGACGTTCCACAGCAATCCTATTAAGGGCCGTATTGTCAAGAACAACCACACAGTCAGCATTCAGTGTCAGCCGCTTCAGAGTTAAAAGCGAATTATATGGCTGGACAACAACATCACTTGTTTCCATCTGATTTGGGAAAACACTGTATGTCTGGACAAGCTTTTTGCTGTATCGGTCATTCAGAGTCTCCAACAGGTAAGAACCCATACCTAAATGAGGGAAGAGTGAACAAAATTAGATAACTATTGTAAGAAAACTGACATGTGGAAATACTACTTTTCCATATTGCAACTACAGCATCCCATATACACACTAAGCCACATGTTAAAACACCAATATACGCTCCAGTTACAATAGATGGTGATTTACAGAAAACTAAGACAAATGAATGAAACCAAGAAAGGAGATCGAGATAAATGACCTGAACCAGTTCCACCAGCAATTGAGTGGCATAACACAAAACCCTCAAGGCTATCACTTCCATCTGCTTCTCTGTCTATCATATCCATGATATCATCAACAACTTGCTCACCCTATAGTGTGTAAATAGGAAAAAAAACATTAATGTGAAAGATATATTAAACTCTGACTGAAGAAACACAGGCACAATTGATCTAATGACAGAATATAACAAAACCTATAGCATTGGTGATCGGCTGACAAACCTACAGAATTGATTAGCAGTGTAGCAGATGAAATATGGATAAGACAGATCAAAGTATACCTGGTGATATCCACTAGCCCAGTTGTTCCCAGCACCACCTCCATGCTCAGCCACAAATATATTCTCATGATTGTATAGATTCCTGTACTCACTGTTCTGTATTCCGTTGATCACTCTCGGCTCTAGATCCACAAGAAGAGCCCTCGGTATGTAATGCTGGTCATCAGCCTGGTAGAAGAAAACATCCTTCCTATCTCCTCCCTGCAGAGAAACTTGAGTCTTTAGCACTCTTTGGTTAACATAGCTACCAACAAAGGAAAATATGCATTGAAATGAATGATAGACATTGTAACCGTTCTAGATGATACGAAAAGAAACATAATATTTGGATGCTATTGTATTTAGGCTGTGCATTTAGATCGTAGCTGCACTTCTCAGAGCAACAAGGAGTCAGATTGAGATTGAACCATTCATCGAATTTGGCACTTTAAGTCGTAATTCAGTTAACTGGGATCTATTTATTCCCCTGCTTCCAGTATCAAAAGGCATTTAAAAGTTGAAACACTGAACTCTTAAACAACAGGACCTGCGCGGAACAGTTGAATTCCCTCTAGTTCCTATGGAAATGAATTGTTTCCCATGAAATTCCTATGTTGCAAGTATGCCCCAATCACGCCTCATTCTTACACTTGGAAATGAGCAATCCCCAATGCCAACAAAATGCTGGTGCCAGTTCAAACGTGCCGGTGTTCAAGTGTACTACTAAATTACTTGTAAAAAAAAACACTAGACATAGCGCTCCAAGCATCTGCAAGCCCAAAACCCACACACACTTCACTCCACTAAACCCTTAGACCTAAACAAAAAGAGAAGCGCGCCCATTTCTGATGCGGAACATGGAGAAATCTTGTAACCCACACGGATCAGACCAACCACACCGCCGATCCGGAGTGTTCCCGCGGCGTGGGGGAGGGAGGGAAGGAGGAGCAGAGACAGGGGGGGGGGGGGGGGGGGCAACCTGGGTGGCGAAGTCCTCGAGGAGGCCGTCCTTGCCGATGCCGTGCTCGAGGCAGAGCTGCTTCCAGAACTCCATCCCGATCTGGTTCCCGCATTGCCCCACCTGTATCGTGATGATCTCCCGCGGCATCTCTCCCCCCGACTGCGGCGCCGGTCGCTAGGGTTTGGTTAGGGGCTTAGGCTAGCCACCCGGATGGCGTCGTGGCGGGGGTTGCAGCTCGGGCGCCGCCGACGGCGGCGGAGCTAGGGTTTTGGGGGGTTTGCTTCGCGTGGACGCTAGGGCTTGCGCCGCCGCGGGCCACCAACTGCGGGGAGTGGAGTGGTGGGTGGGTGGGGGACGAAGCGGAGATTTGTGAGCGACGGGGAAAATGGGGAGAGGATTGAGGGGAAGGGAAGGAAGACGGGCGCAATTTTCGAAATTTTGAGGTAATACTAGTTCATCCGTCTATCATTTTTTTTAGCTCCCTCATTTATCTCAAAATAAACTAAAGTATTTATTGTAACGGAGTCTATAAAAGTAAAGAATAATTATATTAGAATTAGATAAAGTGATAAATAGTTATAATGGGATTTGATAAAGTAAGAGTATTCTAGTCACCTCTTTTGTATTGGAATATTTATGATGGATGATAAATGAATTTATTTTGGGATGAAGGGACGTGCAAAACTTCTCCGCCTCGAACCGTGACTGTTTGCAAATTTTATGAAATGCCGTTTGATTCCAAACACGAAAATTTTCGAGTGTTCCACACGAAACACGAAAATTAATGTGTTCCACGTCTCCCGCATAACTACCTAGCAAAGTGAATTTTAGCGGGACAAATTACGAGTTTAGAGCAAGTTTAATAATATAACCATCTACTGACTCTAAATTATCTATAGATAATCTAATAGCCTATTTATATAATAGTTAACTAAAAAATATACTTATAAGTGCCTAGGAAACTTCAGTCTTCATACCATAAAATTGTATGTATGAAATTATCGCGTTTCAAATTGGGTCTATGTCAATAGGTTTCTCCTTTTGTTCGTCAGATACACGAACCAACCAATGAACAACCAAACTGTACATGAACAACAGCTACTAGTAATTAATTAATGACAGCTCTTTCATGGTTTCCCCAACTTACTGCAAAATTAAGGAACTTTCCATGGTCATAATTGTACCAAAAACTCTTTACTCTACAAAGTACAGTACAAACTCTTCTTCCGAATTCTGAAATTCCGTCCTATATAACATATTTAAGCTGAGCAGATAAATTATTTTTATGATACACAGGACCAGCAGCAGAACTGATTATTTCGATCAAGTCTACACCAGGGCTACATATTACATGACAATCAACCTTTTTGCCTCGAGTTCGTATAATTAAGCCCCTCGTATAATTAAACCAAACGAAAAACTACAAAAATCTGGAAATGTTCATACACAGATGGAAGCTACAGAAAGATCGGCGCTATGAACCTTTTTGCCTCGAGTTCGTCAGAGGCTCCTCACTTAACTATGGTTGCCGATTTCGTTTCTGGGAAGTGAGCAGGCGCGTGACGAAACTAAGGACCTTCAGGAGTGGTTGTGGTGGATGCTTTGGCTTGCGCTCCGGCCCTTCTCTAGGCTGCAACTGGTTCATTTACAGAATGAGAAACACCCGAATTAACCTGTTGGGAAGGAAAAAAAAAAGAATAGCTTGCAGCTGTTCAGAAATGTGGTCAAGGATTCTAAACACAAGAGAAAAATGGAGCGCTGAAGTGTACCTTGGCTGCTTTAAAGAGTTCGTCCAGCACCTCGGACAATGTTGGGTGTGCATGAACAGCAAACTTGATGTCCTGCGTGGTGGGAGTGATCATGTCAAATTCAAGTTATACTGCTGAAAGGCTAACAAAGACGAACCAAGTGAAGAAAAATAATATCATTATACTCACTTGCAACCGAGTTCCTAGGGCAATGGCATTTGATGCCTCGTGGATGAGGTCAGCAGCGTGCAAACCCAAAATGTGCACACCAAGAATTTCTCCAGTGTCAGGCCGGTAAATCAACTGCAGAAAGGAACATACAATTGTCAAGCCCAAAGTATGTCACTGAATGAAGCCATGCAAGACAGCAATACCCAGGTGCCAATTTGGAGACAAGACAACACAACTGATAGAAATAACCCTGCAAGGAAAAAAAACTGATAGAAATAAGTGGCACAAACTAAAAACATGTATACCTTAGCAAGTCCATCTCCTTCATTTTCTGCCAATGCTTTTGTATTAGCCTTAAAGCTGGTCTTAACAACACTTATCTCAAATCCTTCTTTATCAGCTTTTTCTCTGGCTTGTGGCTGCAATATTTATTGATAACACTTGGTCAAGGAAATCATAAAGATTGCATGGTTTAGATCCCCTTCAAGAAGCAATGGATACATACCAAATACAGTAAAAGGATAACGAATTGGTTACGTCAAGGAAAAGACAAAATATCAAGACAGAAAATATAAGACTAAATATCAAGACAGAAAATATAACAGAAGTAGATGAAGAAGTAACGCATAAACAGGGCAGACTAAAGAAAGCTATATGGGATTACACCCGACTTACCTCTGTAAGCCCAACCATACTAATCTCTGGATGAGTGAAGCAAGCAGCGGGGATGCTTAAATGATTTAGGATGTGGTCCCTCCCAGAGATTTGTTCGACAACTACATTTTCATAGGAATTACTTATCAGGCAACTATACGATAAGCAACATAGGAGCGATAGAAGAAGATGAAATCTAAACAGATTTGCAATGTACCAGAGATTCCCTGTGCACTGGCAGCATGAGCAAGCATGAGTTTACCATTGGCATCTCCAATGCAATATAAGTTCGGAACCTACAAATAAAAATGCATGGCATGTTAGATCCCATACAAGCCAGGAAGAGGATTATTCTGAACAAAGCATGGTAATTCATTTGTTTCAACATACCACATTGCCATCTGCATCCATGACTCGCATTCGCTCATCAACAGGAATAAAACCACGCTGTGTAACAACATTGATCTGAAGAAAAAAAGGGTCCGATTCACTATGCTTGAAACTTAACTGTAGGAAATGTTCTGACAGCAAACAGTTTCAACCTTCAGGTACTTACATTTTCCAAGCCAAGTCCTTTTGTGAATGGTGCCCGTCCTGTGGCTATAAGGGCTGCATCCACCTAGAGCCACATTTTAGATCTTCCACATAAGCCATTATGGAGAAATAAAAACTATGTTTATAGTATCAACTTACTACAGATGAACTAAACAACAATAAGTTACATAGAAAAGAGACAACTGTCCATACATTTGATAATCAGTAAGTCATATAGCTATAGGAGTATATGAAGAGTGAAGTATCTTAACAAAAAGTTGGCTAGTAAAACTGCAATTGGAGATACTATGTACAAGGACTGAAAGATTGTTTAAATGTAGTTTTTACCTCGAGGGTTTCTTTGTGTTCCTTTGTTTTTGCATCAATGAGCTCAATCTGCACAGGTTTTCCATCCTTTGCTGGAGTAATCTAGAAAAAATCATCAACAATTTTAACATAGAGATGATGAAATGTGTCTGCGGTATGAAGAAAGCTAAGGTAGAAGGTCTAGTTAACCTTGCTTGCAAAAACACCAGTGTGATAGTCTATATTCCGAGGGTTGATAAGGACTCTCTGGGCTAATTTTGCAATTTCAGGATCAAAACCAGGCATTAGCTGGTCAAGAGCTTCAACAAAAGTAACCTGAAGAATGAAAACTGTCAATTCAGGGGGCATGTGAAAACAAAAATCAGCATGCAGTGATACAATACTACTGTAATAGAATCATTTGTGTAAGTTGAAAACAGTGTAGTCAAATTTGCATCCAATCAAATAACAGGGTGGACCTCACTGGTCACTATATGCAAAGCAAAAAGGATAACATATCCAGATAACTACAGATGCAATTTTTCCAGTTATACCCATTGTAGAACCATGTTTCTGCAATAATTGCATGATTCCATGCTCACTGTATGATTCTCTAAGCCATATCCTTGAATTTATTCACAGCAAGAACTTTCATGTACCTCACTTCCAAGAGCTGTATATACATCACTGAATTCAAGCCCAATGTATCCACTTCCAACGATTGCTATCCAGTCCGGGACAGACTCAAGTTTTAGTGCATGATCACTGGTAAAAACAGTTTTCCCTGCACAAAAGTTGCCCAGCAGGCTTCTGTAAGAACAATAGGTATAACAAGAAATGGTAGGCAACACATTTGGGTCTGCAAACCCAATTGTGCTAATCTTCCATGTCATTCAGCTGTAGGACATAATGTAATAATGGTAATGTGTCTCCTCTATGCTGAGATTATAACATCAAAAGATGGAAGCAGTAGCAGAAGGGCACAAAGATCATGTGGCTTCCAAGATCGAATGCTTTCTATCGGGATCTCTAAGATATCCAAATACAGACACACATTTAAGGTTATTCAGGCATAACAAATAGTAAATTATGTTTTATCTATTGCCACTAGTGATTCTAGAAGTCTAAAACTAATAAAACATGTGTGGCTTTATTATGCTAGTTATGGCACATGCCGCAAGTTGCAACAAAATGGGTTTTATTAACCAAAATAAATACCAACAGTCATGGACAATTAGAAAAACATTTAAGTATGTAAATTGTAATAAGGAAAACTTGTTTCAGAATAAGCTACCACAAAGCTTGTATATACAAAACAATTCAGTAATCACATGGCACACAGCTAAGACTATGGTCACTACAACTGAGCTAGAAGTACATGCTTCTTTCAGCATTTGATCACTTGCTTCAATGTTCAGTCTGGAAACTAGAGCTAACTAAATGAGATGCATGATCCATCAAGAGAAGAAAAGGTAGTACTTACCATCAACCTCTATGCCCTTGGGAACAAAAGGAACTGATCCAGTAGCAATGATGATATTCCTTGCAGTGATTTCTTTGTCTGGAAAACCAACTTTTCCATACCGTACCTTTTGTTTTCCCTGATCAAATCATGATAGGAATAGATTAATGTCGGCAATCCTCTATTATGTCATATTTCGCAGATGAGATATTCCTGTATGCATTTTCTACCACAAGATATGATTGTTGTCAAGTTCAAAGAATAGGTCAGCTTATTCCATCAGCGACTGAATTGGCCACATCAAATAGTAACATGATACATCTAGTAGTGATGTATGTACATTTTAATGGCTCATAACTAAGAGAACCAATAAACTTGCTGCTTTCCACAAGAAATTACTGCTAATTTAGTATATATGTCAATTCTTGAACCATAACAAAACATGGGGCACATAAATGCACTTCCAGCTATAACTTGGTAACATTTGAATAGACTTGATTGTAGGACACACCGACATTGATATGCAACCAAAAGCTAAGCATCTACAATTCAACAAAGTGCTATCCGTAAGGATTTAACTCAGTGGTTTACATATAACATGTATATAAGTCAAGAGAAATATTAACATCTGTTCTTGCCCAAAAATGAGAATGTAACACTCATGTGCATAACTCATGATTGTACATGACAGTGAAGTTATGGTCTTATGGATGACTTACAACAATTGCACCAAAACCACTCAATATATCCACTCCCAGAGCTTTCATTGAATTAGTCAAGTTGCTTCGGATTTTAGAGGCGAGATTGTTTGCATGATCAGCAACAGCTTGTCTGTCATATCCAGGGGATGAAACCTGTTGTACAGAGAATGGGCTTAATGATTTATGCAGGACACAATGCAACACACAAGAATGAGAAAACAGCCGATGCCCAAAGGCCACAGGTAATAGGCCTAGTAACTGGTGACATTAAATTTTGGACAATCTCACAAAACACAGAGATACAGACTCATAGACATATAGCAAACCTGATGCATTGTGAGTAAGAAACAAGGTAAGCTCCATAGAGTTGACATAGACATCAATTTCAGGACACAAATGATAAACATGAAAACAGGAACCTCGCACGCTTTACACTCCCTGTGTCAGTACCTATTTTGTGAACCAGCTTTAATGGACTGGTCGTACCTAAAAGAAATTGACTAAAAAATACTGTAGAACACAAATCTTTTAAAAGTCCACTCATTTGTCAATTGTTATGTGAACTATTTTCAAGTTTCAACACATCAAACAAAGAGGCTAATGCAGTAATTCATCCAAACAAAATACCTGTAGACCCAATGACTTCATGTGATGTTCATCATGAAGCTCCCTCATGCGACCGCTGACAGCAAGAAGTGCTTTTGATGGGACACAACCTCTGTTTACACAAGTCCCACCTACAACATCTCCCTCAATAATTGCAGTTTTCAAACCCTGCACAAATTTGGGCCAGTTAACACTTAACACATTGAGACAGCAGTAGTGGACTAGTAATAACGAACAGGTTATTACATTTATAACTCTGCAATCTTATTTGCGTTATATGCTACAGAAAAGCCTTGGATTGTAAACAAAAAAGTGTGTGCATTTTTGTATGTTGGCCTGTCGGATATATCAACAAAGAAGTAACATATCAAGTAAGCCAATAATCCAACTAAACTGCTACTGCTTGGCACTTGGCAGGCTCCAACAGGGCCAAAGTGTGCCAACATTGAAATTTGTAAATAGATAACCACCAGAACAACCGAGTTGTCACTATTTTGCTGGTGCTGCATTCAAGATAGAGTTGGTTTACAAATGCGTTGAGTTGCACATTATATATTCTTTACCTCTACGATCATCAATCCATCAAGACAAAAAAAAATATTTCAACTAGAAAGGAAGATTTTCTAGTTTCATAGTGATAGTCTCAGCATAAATTTAATAGACTATCAGCGCACTGCAATGGACTAACCACTGAAGTCCCAAAGCAAAGCTCAAGATAGCACTCAATTTAAACAGTTTACCTGTGCTAGCACCAAATTACTTACTAACAAAAACCTCCAGTTACCATTTCGCAGTGTAAATTTCAACAAAGCATGAGCTCTAGCGAAGTAGTTCATTTGAAATTTTGAATTCAGCTAAGTACTTAAGTTCGCAGCTCCATAATACCGGAAATCCCATAGATCATTCTATACAGTCATCAGTTCAAATGTCAATAGATCACGGGTACAGCGCCGCCGACGAGAAACGGCTAGAGCTCTACACCGAACAGTAAACATGGTCCGCACTTACCTCCTCGACAGCGTGGAGCGCCGCGCCGTGCCCACCAACGCCGGCGCCGATGATGACGAGGTCGTAGTCGAACCCGCCGCTCCCCGCCACGCCGTTCTCCGCGGCCGCCCTCGCCGCCACCGCCGCCCGCCTCACCGCCGCCCCCTGCGAGATCCGCAGCGAGCGGAGCGCCACCGCCTCGCCCCCGAGCCCGCACACCCTGATCCCGCATGGCCCCCGCGCGGATCTGGCTCCCCCGCCGGCGCCGCCGCCGACCACCCACGCCGGGGCCGAGGCGCACGCCGCCGCCGCCGCCGCGGAGTTCATCGCCCTCACGACGAACGCAAGAGGAGGGGAGAAGAGAAGCCGGAGTCGCGAGGGGAATGGGAGGCGGCGGCGGAGGAGGCGAGGCGAGGTGGGGGGCAGAAGGAGAGCGAGGCGGCGGGCGGGGGGTTTATGGGAGCGAGGGGGCGGAGAATTCGAAGCTGTGGCGCCTAGGCGGGGGCGGAGGGAAGGAGGGGAGTGGGGGTGGGGGCCACCTGTCAGTTAGGGGGGGGGATGCGGGCATGGGTTTGAGTGGGTTTTGACGAATTTTGTCTAAATTATAAAAAATAATACTCCCTCCGTTCTAAATATTTGATGTTGTTGATTTTTTTAAATATGTTTGACCGTTCGTCTTATTCAAAAAATTTAAGTAATTATTAATTCTTTTCCTATCATTTGATATACTTATATGTATATATATAGTTTTACATATTTCACAAAAGTTTTTAATAAGACGAACGGTCAAACATGTGCTAAAAAGTCAATGGTGTTATATATTTAGAAAACGAGGGAGTACCTAGAAGTATAACTTATACTATATTGCAACAACATTTATACGATGAATTACATCATGTTCTAAACTACAACTCTAAATTACAAATTCCCCGTTGTTAGTTAGCACACAACTTAAAGTGCTAAAGGGTGCTCTTTTAAAATATATATATGTATAAAAGTTTCTTTAAAAAATTACACAAATATATTTATTAATCATTAATACTTGATTAATCATACCTAATGACTTTTCTCATTTTGTGTGCTAAAAAATCCAACTGGTGCTATACAGAACACAGCCTTGGAAAACTCATATATGTGTTTTTCCTATGCTTGTAGTAGATGAAAGAAAAATGGGTTAATGATGTAATTTTATGAAACTATTAGGTCATAATACTCGTGGTTACGTGCAACAAGCCAAGCCTCGTGGTTTTTGGCAATTTGGACATAATACCATTATTTTTTAATAAAAATACTCAATAAACAAATATGTGTCTTCATAACACATATGACGATAGTTCTTATGTATGTTTGAACTTCAATTTAAGAGAATGTGGAGGATACTTTGTCTGTGTTTATTTAATATGGATGAAAAGGCATAACATGTATACTACGCTTTACTCTCTTCGTTCCATAATATAATAACTTATAGCACTTAAAATTTATCCTATAATATAACAACTTTTTCACTAATATTGTCTTCCCAACCAATCATAACTCCTCGCTATTCACTTTTCTCACATACATCCACTTCCCTACGAATCACAACTTATCCCTATTTGATTTCATATATTTTCTTAGTAACTATGTCCAACTCTAAATTTTTTTATATTATGGGATGAAGGTAGTATTCTCTATTTTTATATGGTAAATACCTAACTTACGTTAACTTTTAAAGCAATTATACATCGAATGTTCAATTAAACTTGTAGTGCTAACACACAAGAATTTTGCTAAACATCAAAACTGAACCTATTAGCAGCTAATTGTCCAATTTACCGTAAACAACATTAAATATTACATCGACATTTATTGCAGTCGTGATCCTCTCTAGCAAGAATATAATAGGGTGTGTGGGTTGCTAACATGAAACCATTGTCTTAGGGAAAGTAATGGTTCGTAATAGGAGGATTCTAAATATAATCTTTGTTTACATTTTGGCTTGTAAATCGGGGATCCCAATCAACGGTTGGGTAGAGGAACCTCTCAAATTTATTATTAGTTTGCTCTCAGGTGATGAAATTTTATTTGCAAATTAATAAAGTGCGCCATAAAATGATTTAGTGTAAGAAAAAGGGAAGAAAATTAGTATTATAAAAATCTAGATCGGTTGATCGCTGACTAGTAAGTAGGACTAGCCTAGTCAACTATGAATTCTACCTAATGTTCATGCTTTTGTTTATGATAGGCTAGTGACTAAAGAAATCCACTTCTCTTTACCTTTTCGAGAAAAGTAAGATCAGTTTGTTTACTGCAGCTAAATAATTCTACAGATGAAATCTTGCAATGGGAACCAGCTTTGCATCCCACGAAGTCTACTCTCTAACCAAATATCCTTTCATTGACTAACATCAAATGATTCTACTGATAATCACTCATCTAAATGAAGTCCAATCTCTTATTTCGACAAGTCCAATATATCTTATATTTCGACTATAGATAAAAAAAATTATAGAAACCTTTTTTCTATAGTTTTTTATAATTTGAAAGTCTCACTATTTTACTATGCGCATACGGAAAAAATATCATAGATATGCATGATTTATAATGCACCGAGTAGTACAACCTAAATATTCTCACGCACTCCTTGTTTTTTTCCTTAAAGGTGCTTGAGTGCTCATATTTCATTACGGTCAATCTGTTTACATTATAGATAAAAATCTATCATTTAATTGTGGAAAGACTCAATGCTACGACATGATTTAATTACAAAAAGTCATTACTCTCATCAAAGGATAAAAAATGCTGATACCACAAAATCAAGTTGACATGTCCAAAAAAAAAGTCATGCATAAAAAACACTAACCATAAAAATAAAATAGCTATGTTATCAAGCCGGTGAACTTCATCGTATGCCAAGGTTTTAAAGCGCATATGGATTCAACAGAACTCTTGACAATTAGTTGGGATATTACAAGCGAATAGATTAAATATTAGAAGGTTGAAAAGTTGATTGAAGAGCATTAAACTTAAACCTTAGATAAATCAATTTATTAATTTTATAACCATTAATATTTAATTAATCATATGCTAATGATATTTTTCGTTTCGTGTGCGCGGAAAATCTCCCTCCAACTCGAACATCAATAAACAAATGAGACCAAGGAGTTGCACTAGCGCATCTGGTTGGTTCACCGTGGTTCGAACCGGTCGGCGCGAGTTTGACTCCCACATTTTCACGTTGCCTCACCGAGGTTTTTCCCGGCTCCCAGGGATCACGTTTAGGTGGTTCTACTAGGGAATATGGTTCACACACGCATGTGCATTCAATGGGACTATACGTTTCCCGTGCAATGGGACCTAGTACCTCCAATCTCAACCCTATCGTATATTAGGATGCACACACGCGTGTTGTGGTGTGTGTTTGTGTGAGTTCTAAATTGTACCCCCTCAAAAGAGAAACAAACAAGTGGGCCCAGACGAACTTTTGATGGTGTACGCGTAGCAAAAAGACCACACCACGTAAAATATCCAAACTGCCGTGTCCATCGTTTTCCTTCTCCCACCCCCCGCAATTCCTTTTTTCCCCCCTCCATTCCGCAAGCGAACAAAACACACACACACAACAAAAGAAAAGAAAAGAAAAACTCGAGGGGGCCAAACGAGAAAAAAAAATAGACGCAGAGGAGAAAGCCGCGAAGCGAGAAGAGAGAGAGAAGGGAGGAGAGCTCGCTCGCTCGCTCGCTCGTGCTCGTCAATGGCGGGTAGGGTTTCGCCGCTGCCCTCCTCCTCCTCCCGCTGCTAGACCTCGCCCTCGCCCTCGCCCTCGCCCTCGCCGCCGCCGCCCCCCGATCCCCGAGTCCGCCCCGATTTCCATCCTTCCCCGGCGGTGAGGCAGGCCTAGGGCGGGCGACGATGGGGGAGGAGGAGCAGGGGCCCCGGAGGAAGCAGGCGGGGCCGGACGACGCGGTGCAGATCAGCATGCAGGTGAGCTTCTCCCTCCCCCTCCCAGTCCCCGCATATCTCTCCCCCCTGTTAGAAGGATCTAGAAGGTTCGCCGATGATGGGCGATGCAGGGCCGGTAGATCCCACTCGCGGCGGTATGTAGGCTTTCGTTTAGCGCCTTTGGTGGAAACTTCGCTTGGGAGTTTCGGGAATTCGACAAGGTTGCTCGCTCTGGTAGTGGTTGATTCGATATCCTGACCATGTGCAGGATTTGGGGAAGAGTGTGATTCATTGGGTTTTTTTTTTTTTTTTGGGGGGGGGGATTTCTGGTTGAATTGTGAGGGGAATGTCTCGTTGTGTGCTGTGGAGCTTACTATTTCAGGTGCCGATCACCTGATCCCTTTCTAATCATCACTCGTAGATCACGGTTAGCAACTCCATTCTAACAGGGAGTAGAGCTTTTCCACCTGCTCCGCCTCATAAATGTAGATGCACTTTTCCACTTGCGTGGAGAACGGTGGAAGGCAGGTCTGGTGAACTGTTTTGGCCTTTACTTTCTCCATAGGGTAGAAACAGATCGGGATAGCGGACATAAAACTATTGAAATCGAGTATGCTCTTTCTTTTTGTCAAAGCGGAATCACAGAACAGAACTGACATGATAAGACAGAATGCAACAGAAACAAGGTATCACGTTTTGGTTGGGTTCAAGAGGAGTCATCAGCTTTTAGTTAATAACCTCGAATTGTGTTTCACTCAGAACATTTTAGTTCCTGTTCGAACTTCAGAAAACTTCTTGACTATTATGCGAACAAGGATTTACACAAATCCCATGACTACTTGGGTTTTCAGTTTTCACTCAGAAAACCTTCAGTTCCATTTTGAGCGCCAGTTAATTTTCACTATTCCCCGACAAATGATTTACACAAACCCCATAGGAAATGTTAGTAAAAAAAATTTGGTTTCCTCATATTAGATCTTGGATAGTTACTTGATAGTAACAAAATGGCATGTGTACATTCATTACTCCGTCCTATAACAAAATGCCTTGAGCTAATTGATGTTTAGACCATACCATGTATAACTTGCCTATATTGCATGGAATTCCAGTTTTTTGTAATTATATGCTATATTATGTTATGTTTTACCAGTAGCCATTTAGAATAAGGATTTTTTGGTCCATCCTACTTCAGGAAGACTATCTCAGTTATTTGTTTACTGTCCTACTGTATGATCTTAAACTAAAAACTTGCTGAAGCAATGTTTATCTATTATGCTATCTTACGTCTATATTAAGATATCAGCTTATCATATTTCGGTTAACAGGGAGGTAATTCTTGGTTAAGATCCAAAAGACTTAAAAATAATATTATTACACCATGCCATCTTTCCAGACAATAGCCCGAAAAGATGCTTTGCTTGCAACTGTTAATCTATTTAGTGTTGTCAATTACACCATACAGAGATACTTGTGAACAAGCCAATGATACAAGGCCCATGCCACAAAATCAATTCCAAGAATTGTACCTTTTCTGTGTGTATTTTTATTTTGTGATATACAGCATAAGCACTACTATTAACATTTGAAGAAAAATGTTCCAGCGAGTCAAAGTGTACCGATTGACTGATGATGGGAAGTGGGATGATCAGGGAACAGGGCATGTTACCATCGACTACATTGAGGTATAATTTTGTCTGAATATTGAGTTGAAACCTTATATCCTTTCCTATGCTGCAGTGATTTTCACTAAATATGGTTTCTCTGATGATACCCTCTTTTTATCTTCAAATCTTAGTTTCTCTATTGGACTGATATTTATAAATTTGTATAAAGTTTTTATTGAATATCGATCGTGCTGTTTTCATCATTAATATGTTGAAGTTAATTATGTTTCCAGTTATTTGTGGGACAATATATTTTTGGCATTTAAGCTTATACTGTTACACATGAGTGTGCTTTTTCAAAATGCTTCTCATGAAATTGGATAATCTGTTTTTATGGAAACACTGATCTTCATGTTCGCATTTAAGAACAAAACAGAGATAATATTCTTATCACAGATAAAAGTAACACAGGAAGCAGCGTGTTAGAATGGCTGAACTACTTGTAGAGTGTGACACCAAGATTGCAGTTAAATTTTCAGTCTTAATCTCGGACTTGCCATTTAAGGTTCACCTTTTCAACCTTTATTTGACTTAGGGATCAAGAGAAATTGCTCTGACTGTTGTGGATGAAGAGGATAGTGACACGCTACTGCTTCATCACATTACATCTGATGATATATACAGGAAACAAGAAGGTGAAGTGGTGCAATGTCCTTCTTTTAAGATTGGCCATACTCATTCTCCTAAGTCTTAATGTACTATCTTTACCATTTTTGTTGGAAGAAACAATCATCTCATGGAGGGATCCTGAAAAGGCACTAGAGTTAGCATTGAGTTTTCAAGAAGCTGCTGGATGTTCATACATATGGTGATTCAACTATAAATGGATTGTTTTACTATCATATTTCAAGTTTCTTATTCATGTCTGCTTAAATTCTGATGGTTTTATGCAGGGAGAGTGTGTGTACCATACAACGAAATTTACAATTTAATGTCCTTGATGGTATTTTTTCTAACCTGTGTAGTTTTAGCCTGTTATTCTTGTGAGTTGCTTTTTACAGCATTTACTTTTTCTATATCCTACAGTTCAAGAAGCCGCTCCACCCGCAGCATTTGAATCTTTAGAAGCCTCTAGAAATCCACCTTTTCATGGTAGGTAACTACACATTCCCTTCTTCATGGAACTGTGTACATATGCATGATGTGCCCTCTTGAGAGTTATGTCACGGAGGGTTGTGCAACATTTGAAGGTTGATTGTATGATCTCTCTTTTGCATGGCTAGGATTTAATTTTTCCCCATTTCAACTTTAAAATCCCAATAACTCGGTTTAATTCTTGAGTAAACTATTTGATGGGCTTGCTTAATCTCATCACATACGCTGTCAGGTTCGGACATGAAATGTTATGTTCCGATTTTATCTATTTGCTCACGTGAGAGCTAGGTACTAAATAGCAGATTGGTATTGACATAGCGGATTGCAGACGCTATATTTCTATAGTGGAATTAAAAAGTACTCACAATTTTAAGTTAATCTAATCATGCAGACATGGTAACTTTTAGTACAATATGATATGTTCTGGAAGTTCACTAAATGGAGGACATCAACCAAAGGTAGAACTGAAAGGCAATATAGCACATATACATAGCTACACATGTAACAAACCAGTATATTCCAGCTTCTGGTCATTGCACAGGAGGAAACTCACACATACAACAAGCTAGCAGTGGCATATTTGTTCTCTTCTAGTGTAGCCTGTCTTCAGACCACGTTGGTGCATGCTGCAGCCTGATGCCCTACACCGCTATTTGAATTGCGGGCTCGTAGTGGCAGTAGGCTGCTACCGCAATAACGGCCGCAACGACTGCTAATTGGTACCATGCCTGAGAGGCAATGCTGAAGGTTCTTATTAATCTCCTGCCACCTGATACCTAAATAAAGTATTTTTTTGAAAGGATACCTAAATAAAGTATTTAAGGTTCAGAAAATTGAATTCTTATATTTATACAATGTAATGTAATTTGAGTGTACCATTTCTTATTGCCTTATGCTTGTAGCTGTCTGCTGTGTATGGTTTTGCTAAAAATGTGATAGTGACTTGTTTCTTTACCTGCAGATGAGTCCTTAAGTTCTACCAGCAGAGAATTAAAGAAACTTCCCCCTCTTGATTTGTCCAGTCTATCTTCCATCTTAAAGGTGTGGTGGGCTACCTTTATTTTCTTTCCAGTGCCATTTACTTATATACCGCTCTCATCATCTGATTTTTGATGCATATTTTTGGTTGCCACATTAGAAACATTATATGTAGGGTATTAGAGACCTGAGTTAATTTGGTCAATATGCCTGGAAGCAGATACACACGTTTCCTATTGAATTATACTAACATATTGATGTTGAAATGCTGTTGACCAAATATGCAGACTATATTGGAGTGCAGCATGACAGAGCGGATGCGTGTTTCTGTTGCAGAGTTAATATTACAATATGTAAGTCATGAACTATTCTATGTCAACATGTTGGTCATGTAGCTTGCCTCTTCCTGCAGGCATAAAAGTGTACATGAGTGTTACAAACGTTAAGGCTAAACTAGTGCAGGCTGCCCATTTATTTTTGGACAATAGGCCATTCCCCAGCTCCATGCTGTTAGGCATAGGAAGATGCCTCTATTCATTTTCTTTATTTCATTTCACAATTGATGCCTAGGCTCCATTTGGCATTGCAGCGGATTTTTGGTATAACTTATATTTTCTAGTTGGAAATAATCCTATTTTATTGTGCCATAATTGTATTATCTAATAAAATAGTGAAGATCCAAGTAATTGACTAGATTCCACAGCATAGGATAACAACCACACACTGGCCCTCAGTTATGAGCTTCATTGCTCCACAAATTTGGATCTGCTGTTAAACCAATGTAATATCTTGTTGGACTGTGGGTGTTGTAGGTGCTCTAAGTCAGTAATTTAATCACAAGAGCATGCTTGGTTGCAGTAGATGATTTTGCAAGATAAGCTTCAGGTCACTGGTTTGTCGCACTTGGTTCTGGTTCGTTTTTGCTTGAACAGTTGATAAGCACTATAAAAATTCGTTTGCAGATAAAACAAACCACACACCGTTTTGTCAACTTTGGTATATTCTTACATAGGGTGAACTGTGAAGTTTTGAAATCTAGAACATTGATGGATATTTATATGAGTATTATGATGCTCTAAACTTTTCAATTTTCCCCAATATGTTGCAGCATGATTTCTTCCCCCAGCTAGTGAATCTTTTTAGAACGTGTGAGAGTTCAGGAAACATGGATGCACTCCACATGATCTTTAGATTAGTAAAGGGAATCAGTAAGTACATGGCAATTTAAGCTTTGTCATAGGTTATGTTTGATTGCTGCTTATTTTGTTTGTCCTTCTGCAGTATTGTTGAACAGTTCTGCGATATATGACAAGATTTTCTCTGATGATTTTATTCTTGAGATAATAGGCGCACTTGAATGTAAGCAATTACCCTTGACCTCTATAAGTGTCTACATCAGTAATGATAAAGTCTTGCTTTGTCATTTTAACGGGAAATTCTACATAGTAACATACCTGTATAATTGCATACGCTGTTTGTTACTAATGGGATACAGTGATCTGATCTGAGCAGATGATCCAGAGGCTCGCACTGTGCAAAATCATCGCACTTTCCTGAAGGAGCATGTAGTTTTCAAGGAGGTAAACCGAGTTTTATGCATCATATCCTGGTTAAGATGGAGTGATTTTCATGTCAAGATTTCTTTTGCATAGGCTATACCCATTAAAAATGCTTCTGTGGTTTCAAAGATTCATCAAACATACAGAATAGGCTATATAAAGGTCAGTGCCCTCTGTTCTCTGCCCCCTTGCTACATGGAGTTTTTAGTAGTTTTGATTCTGTTGCCATTTTTGTGCTTGACTGTTTTGGTCTGGATTGCTTGGTATTTACAGGATGTTATATTACCAAGAGTACTTGATGATTCTACCATGGCAAGCATTGCTGCAATCATTCATGCGAACAATGCTGCTGTTAGTATTTCAACACTATAGATTTTGTACATGTTTTGAATCAACTTTCTTCTGTAATTTCGCTATTTCAGATTATGTGATTCTCCTGTAGGTTGTTTGTTTACTCAAGGACGATGCTTCTTTTGTAAAAGAACTGTTTGCTAAGATGAGATCTTCGAATATTTCTGCTGAATCAAAACGCGAACTGGTGAGACTGTTGGTTTTTTTTTTTCTAACATATTTAGACACACCCTTCCCTATGAGAACCTGGGAAATTTTCTTTCTAGTCATAATCTTAGTAAGGTTATAGTATGTTCTGTCAAATCTTCAACAGAACTACCCCTTCCAATCGCTGAGCTGCTGGAAAAGAAAAAGAAGGGTCAATGCTTGCTAGTTTCTTTCATGAATTAAAGTGTTTTCATGGTGTTCTGTGAGTTGTGATTTTGTGCGCGCTTGGAGGGAACAAGACAAACCAAGGTTGAGTTTGTGTGAACTAGATACTGTGTTGGCTTTACTGAAGCCAGTTACTGGTCAAAGAGTTTTATTGGATCATCTTGTACTATTGGGATGCTTCTTTTGCAGTTGAGCCAAAATATCTTATGCATGCTGAACATTTGCTTCATCATTTGAGTGCTTATATGATGTGGGCTGTGAGTTTTTGGAGACATCAATTTTCTTGATATTTTGTAGTTTGTACTTCTGTATTATGCACATTGTTGCCTTCTACTCCCCCCATCCCAAAATATAACAACTTTTGCGTGGATGGGACATCCTAGTACTATAACAATTTTTGGGTGGATGAGACATATGACATATCCTAATACTATGAATCTTCATAGTACTAGGATATGTCCCATCCATGCAAAAGTTGTTATGTTTTGGGATGGAGGGAGTATGTCATTTCACACAGTTCTTTAACATTGATATAATGTTACTGATTGTGTGTTGTGTTTGGGGGTGGGAGCTGGGGAGATTATTCTTGTGTATGCTGTTTGGATTGACAACATTTTGTTTTTTCAGGTCCTGTTTTTGCTTGAGTTTTGTACTCTCACTAAAAGTTTGCAGGCTGTTCAGCAATTACGTCTATCTAGGTTGGTGTTTTGAGAACCTTCTCTCTTTAGTACTTCCTCCGTCCCAGAATAAATTAATCTAGTACAGGATAAATTATTCTAGTACAGAATAAATTAATCTAGTACATACAGAATAAATTAATTTAGTACTTACTCCGTCCCAGAATAAATTAATCTGGACACTCCTGTCTAGATTCGTAGTACTAGGATGTGCCACATCATGTACTAGATTAACTTATTCTGGGATGGAGGGAGTAATGAAGTTGTATGTGTGATGCCCAAACAAACATGATGATGATAGGTTATGGCCCCAGAACAGGATGATGTACCTGGTTTAGTATTTCATCTATTTTTCTTATTATTTCAGTTTGCTTATGTGTACAATGGAACCATATATTTAATTTTGATGAGAAAACATATTTCTTCAAATACGAGGCAATTACTGGCAACAAATATAATGCACACATTTATTCATAAGATAGAAGGAGGATAGATAAAATTAGACAATTATTTTAGATATATCTATACTCTACAAAAAGTAATGTGAATCCAGCTCATTTTAGTTTGAAGTTTGTTCCTAGCTTATTCAGAAGATAGAGAAAAGTAAACAGCTTCATTTTTTTTGTTTCACTTTCATTGGCAAATCACATGGGAAATGGGATATGATAAACTTCCATAAGTTTCAGGGAAAACCCCTTCCATTTGTCATGTTACTCCTGTGGCCTATGTGTGTTGTGCACCCTCATTCACCTCATGACAAGCCAACACTATGATTCTATGAATCATGTTCTCTGTCTTCTACAATGCAAATTTGCTTAAGCGCAGTCTCCTTGTGTTTATAAGGACATTGTTCACCACTATGAATCATGATTGTTACCCTGTCTTCTTTCGTGCTATGCAGATATACCTGTATTAATAATGCAACCAACTGTTCAAATAAATAGCATTTAAGTGCAGTTTTGTAAATTGGATAATTGGAGAGACAATTCTAGCAGGTTAATCATTTCTTTTCCCTGTTCAGGGATCTTGCTAGTGAAGGTGTGTTTGACATCATGTCTGATGTGTTGCAGAGTCAGGATAAAGTGCTCGTCTCAGCTGGGTAACTTATGCAATCTAGAGCAATGAGCAAATTATATTTTTGACTTTTCCTTGCATATACTATTTCTAATCACACTGTTTCTTTTTTGGCAAATGCAGGACAGACATCCTTGTATATTTTCTTAATCAAGATCCTAACTTACTGAGATCATATATTGCTCGTCAAGAAAATTCTCAAGAAGGAAATTCACTTCTTGGTCTTCTGGTAAGTAAGTTGCACCCCTTTTCTGGGTCCTGGTTTTGGATTTATGTTCCCCTGTCCTATACATGGTCCAAGCAGTGAATTACATTTCTTAATGGCCTTCATGTTCTGCAACTTTTGTACCTTCTGCTATTTTAGCTATATTCTCTGCACTTTGCGACTCCTGGATTTGTTGTGGAGCCTTTGGAGTTCGAATCATGTCTCTTCTCATTTTTTAATCTTCAAATCTATGCAAATGCTTCTCTTTCCTGTTTGTTGTCGACACTACCAACAGCTGCATGCTTGACCGTTGACAATGTGATGTACAGCTGATTAATGAACTCAGAAATCTTGGGAAAGTTCTGTGTGCAAATGGTAGCGATGGTTATTTTATAATCTGAGGACCTATCATTTATTTGTAGTTGAACCATTAAGTTACTAGTGATTGAGGTATTTTTCTCAGGTGCCTCCATTTCTCTGTTATGTCCAGGAATGTTGGAATACATTTTTGCTAAGCTTCAAATCTGCTGTTTGTGCCTCAGCTAGCGTATTTACAAATACTGCTCGCTATTACTGAAATTTCAGGTTCAAGGCATGGTAACTGACTTTGGTGAGGGAATGCACTGTCAATTTCTGGAAATTTTGAAGATTCTGATGGATGGATTTGCTACAAATATGCCTACAAACTATGTAAGATGAACTAGCCTAAATTGTGAAACTTTTGATATTTCTTGAACCAACATGATTTTCTGCTCACTTCAAAATATTGAAGCATGACTGTTAACGTGTAATTTGTATTGAGTTACTATGGAAATTTTGTTATCTCTTTCTGTCGCAGAGAGGAGTTATTGATGTTTTTCATGAAAAGCATCTTGATAAGTTGATTGATGTAATAGCATTGGCTTCCTCCCCTATGGACATTACCCAATCAACATCTAGTCCAGTTGGTGTGGGTACAAGAGTTGAAAACCATTCTGTGAAGACTGAAATACTGTCTAACATCTGCGAGCTTTTATGCTTTTGTGTAGTTCATCACCCCTACAAGATCAAGTAATACTCAATGCAAATGCTTCCCTTTCCTTTTTCTTAATTCAATATTTCCTTTGGACATCTCATGTCTTGCTGTTTTGCTAAAAGGCAGGTCTAATCTTGTAGGGTCAACTTTTTAAGAAGCAATTCCGTGGAGAAAATCCTTACTTTAACCCATAGGAGAGAGAAGGTTTTGGTCGTGGCAGCCGTCCGATTCATGAGGACTGTTATTGCTAGAAATGTATGACATTTACTTTTTTTCCCAGTTTGAATTCTAATTGTAGGTTCATTGACATCATTGGGGAACTCGAGATAAAGTGTTGTATGTGCTCTGCAGGATGAGCTTCTTCTTAGCCATGTTATCAAGTTCAACTCATTGAAACCAATTATCGAGGTATTTGTTGAAAATGGGGATAGGTACAACATGCTACATTCTGTTGTCCTTGAACTGTTGGAATACATACGAAAGGTAACCTAGCGGGAGTTATTTGCCAATTGTTATAATGCTACATAATGTGCTGTCAGTTGATGCATTATTTGTACAGGAAAATCTCAATTCACTTGTGATACATGTTACCAAATCCTTTTGGGACCAACTTGTGAGGTTCGAAAAACTAGGGAGCATTCAGGCCTTTAAACTCAAGTATCAACAGGTTGAAACTTATAGTTCTGTGTATTCTTGCATCCTGTTGTTACTGTTGCCTCATTTGAATGCTTCTCCATGTCTTCTTGCTAGTTAATGGAGAGTGGTGAAACAACACAAAGTATTAGTCTAGTTGACATGAGAAAGAAGCCAGAAGAAAGAGGTCTCGACAAAGAAGAGGAGGACTATTTCAACAAGGGCAGGTTTGTCCACTTCAGTTTTGCTGCTTGTTTGTGTTAAAGAGTCCAATTGAGTTCATAGATGGCGTCCTTAACTGACATGGAATTTTTTATTTTAATACCTTAGTGATGAGGAAGATTCTGATAAACAGACATCATATGCACAGAAGGAATCTTTGGATAAGTTACCCAAGGGAAGTGACATCCGTCATATCCCTGCAAGGTACATTATCTCATCTTCTATAACTTGCGATAACTTCCTGCCAACTCATATTGAAGATTTATTTACTGGCTTCTTCTTCTTTATATTCATAATAACTTGTTACGTTTTACATTCTGTGCGCACATTATGCAATTTCTGGACTCTAAAACATACTTCAGTTCCAGTGTTTAGCAGATCTTTTGTTTTTTCAGGTCTAAATCTGGTGGGCTTGTGGATTATGACGACGATGATGAGGGTTACAACCCACCTCCCAAAAGGGCTGTTAAAGCTGATGAGGATGATGAGGCCTTAGTCATAAAGCGTAATCCAGTGGATGACAAACAAGCTGATGGGAGGTCTCCCAAAAAACCAAAGATGGAACCCAGATTTATCTGCTCAAAGATTGTCGCTGCGGCTAGTGTGGCAGGCAGACGCTCGAATTTGGCAGATAAACAGGGTCCCCATCCACCTTCCTCAAGCACGAAAACTTCTGAAGGCAATGGTGATGTAGGGGAGGAAGGCCCAGGTTCTCAGAATCTACAACATGACCCAGGAAGCTTGGATTCCACTCATCAAAATGGAGATGACTGTACCAAAGATGCAGGGAACTCGCCTTCCGAGATGACTGTAAATACATCAAAAGCAACTGATTCAGAGCCTTATTCAGTGAGATGACAATAAATATTTTTTTTCCTCTATTGGCTTCAAGTCGATTGCTTTTCCTTGCGACGAAAAGGAATTGCTTCACATTTGGCTCCGAAGAAGGTCGTTGAATCCATAGCATTCTGACCCTCGAGCCAGCAAGCATGGTCGGAGGTGAGATAGTTTTGGTCAAAGTTGTATATCTCAACCGCGATTTCGGCTCAGCTGAACATGTAAATTGACACTCAAAGAGAAGAATACCAAGCTGAGAACCAACATGCCATTTGGTGCTGCACTATAGACAAAAAGGAGAGGGTCTTGCTGTTTTAGCTTCCGCCTAAAGATCAATGTGAGCTCTCTCACGGGCACAGAATGTGCCCTTCGATTGGACTATTTACATCTCTTATTTTTAATCAGCCTATGGGATGATCCACTAAGCTGTCACTCATGTAACAGAACCATTTTACAACAGCTTGAAGTATCTTGCTCAAAACCCCCCATTTACACGGTAACAAATTCTTGGTATCCTGTATATACTAACGTGGACCATTGTCGGGCTGTTTGGAATGCCTAAATTTCACATGATTTTGATGGAAACAGCTTGGAACATATGAAATTCAAACGATTTTGATGGCAAATATCTGTCCACTGTGAATTGCCCATTGCTGATTTGAGATCACTTTAAGATGAAGCTGCTGCTTCTTGCACCATTGTCCATTGGTTTCCAGCAGATACGTCTACGTATTTAGGGGAAAAACAGAGCAAATTGCACTCGTCGTCAAACTTGTAGGAAGGTTTTACCTATGTTAATGAACTTATAAAGCACGTTTCAACTTGATTTATTGTACCATCCCAATCCAATGTTTGCAAAATTGTGTCGAGGCAAAAAGTTGCTCTGTTCTGTTGGTCCTCATGCAAAACGTTGTTGTGTCAAATCAAAGATTGTGTGGGTGTTCAGTTTACCGCTCATTTGCACGTTCTCAAATCAGGCTTTCGTTGGAAAAACAACGCCGACCCCAAACTTAACCATCAACAGGTAATAATTTGGTAATTTAAGACGACACTACTACACATGGGATTAAGAGGCTGTGTTATCAACAGGTAATAATTTGGTAATTTAAGACGACACTACTACACATGGGATTAAGAGGCTGTGTTTGGGGGAGAGGGGATTGAGAAAATTGGGAAGATACGCAAAACGAAATGAGCCATTAGCGTATAATTAATTGAGTATTAACTATTTTAAACTTTAAAAATAGATTAATATGATTTTTTTAAAGCAACTTTCATATAGAAATTTTTTTTAAAAAACACACCGTTTAGTAGTTTAGAAAAGCGTGCACGCGAAAAACGAAACAAACAAACTCCCTTTGTTCTCCACACGAACGCAGCCTAAGTCTAAAACAACATTGGATTACATCCTAAGTCTCAAACCGCATTACATATCCCAAGCAACAAGACACTTTGGATTACATCTGACACTGCATTATCCCGAGCTACAATTATTACTCTTATCGGTTTCAACTGGTTAAGGAACCCTAATGCTCATCGTCTTCTTCTTGTTTATCCATGCGTGCATGCAGGTGCAGCTGATCGATCATGGCGAGAGCATGCATGCAGCTTAATTTATTAGCAATGGAGCTCAGCTTCATCAGAGGTGGTTGAAGACGATGCCGCCATGCGCGGCGAAGAAGGGGGCGAAGACGAGCGCCTCGACGGCCATGAGCTTGACGAGGATGTTGAGCGATGGCCCCGAGGTGTCCTTGAGCGGGTCGCCGATGGTGTCCCCGATCACCGCCGCCTTGTGCGCCTCGGAGCCCTTGGGCCCCAGCGACCTCGCCTCCTCCGTCGCCCCGGCCTCGATGTACTTCTTGGCGTTGTCCCACGCGCCGCCGCTGTTCGACGCCGAGATCGCCACCTGCACCCCGGACACCAGCGCGCCGGCGAGCAGCCCCGCCAGCGCCTCCACCCCGAACAGCGTCCCGGCGACGAGCGGGCTCGCCATCACCAGCGCCCCCGGCGCCACCATCTCCCGCAGCGACGCGTCGGTGGAGATCCTCACGCAGGTGGCGTAGTCCGGCGCGGCGAGCCCCTCGGCGAGCCCCGGGATCTCGTCGAACTGGCGCCGCACCTCCTCCACCATCCGCAGCGCCGCGCTCCCCACGCTCCGCATCGTCATCGCCGAGAACCAGTAGGGGAGCATGGCGCCGGCGAGGAGCCCGACGAACACCCTGGGGCTCACCACGTTCACCGTCCGGATCCCCGCCCGGCTCACGTACGCGCCGAACAGCGCCAGCGACACCAGCGCCGCCGACCCGATCGCGAACCCCTTCCCGATCGCCGCCGTCGTGTTCCCGGCGGCGTCGAGCGCGTCCGTGCGCTCGCGCACGCGCCGCGGCATGCCGGCCATCTCCGCGATGCCGCCGGCGTTGTCGCTGATGGGGCCATAGGCGTCGATGGTGAGCCCCGTGGCGATGGTGCTCAGCATCCCCAGCGCAGCCAGCGCGATGCCGTACATGGCGGCGAGCCGGAAGCTGGCGTAGATGGCGCCGGCGATGGCGAAGATCGGCACGATCACCGACTTGTACCCCACGGCGAGGCCGAAGATCACGTTCGTCGCCGCCCCCGTCCGGCACGACTGCGCCACCGTCTGCACCGGCCTATCAATTTGAAATTTGAACGCAAATTTCATCAAAATTTGAAATTTTACAAAATGTAGAATCATCGCGAATTTGGGTGGGTAGAATTCGTTTTCACCCGTAAGCATTGCTCGTGAAGTACTCGGTGACGTAGCCTATCACCAATCCCGCCCACAGACCAGCTGAGACGCAGATGAACAGGTGCCTGAATTATTCAACAAAAATTCAGACAAAACTATTATTATTCCATAATTTAATCAAATTTGGTGCAAGTACAACTGCTAGAGTCATAGGTGCATGGCTCCACCCAACAAGATTCAAATCTTGGTGCTTATAAATATTACGCACTGTAACTAGGTTTTTAACATGATTTCTCCGAAATCAAGAATGTGTTGTTGAATGCACATAGACAGGGATGTGAGTGTGGTATTATCTGTGCACGTGTGTCTCCCGTGTAATTGTAAAACTTTTAAAAAAAATGTATTGTATACAGGGATGTGAGTGTGGTCTTGTTTGTGTGCGTATGTCTGCCGTGTAATTATAATTTTTTAAAAAAACCAAAAAAAAATAAATTACACACTATGTAAGGTTTTTTTTTCTTTTACCAATTTTTGACGAGCTTGCGTTCGCCGAAGTCGAAGAGGGTGAAGGAGCGGGGGAGGGAGAGGAAGGTGACGGCGGCGACGGCGGCGGTCATGAGCACGGTGGAGATGAGGATCTGGCGCTTGAGCGCGGGCGCGACCTCGTCGGCGGCGCCGAGCTCGCCGGCGTCGGTGGCGACGAGCGTGGTGGCGGCGCAGGCCACGATGCCGGCGGCGCTCACCAGCAGCGGGTACATCATCGCCGCGAAGTCGTGGTCGGCGCCGAAGGAGGAGATGGACGCCACGAACAGCGCCGCGCACGACGACTCCGCGTACGACCCGAACAGGTCGGACCCCATCCCGGCGATGTCGCCCACGTTGTCGCCCACGTTGTCGGCGATCACCTGCGCACATCATATCCACACGCACGTACAAAACCATATATGATGTATCACTTCTCTTTGAAGGAAGGGAACGATGGGGGTGAATTTGTAAGCTTCCCAAACTTTTAAACGGTTTTTTAAACGATACAATTATATAAAAGCATTTTATAAAATCTTCTTGTATATATAATTTCTTTCGAGAAAACTATTTCAAACCAAAATCGATCTCAACTCTATATTTTCTCCGTTATATGTTATACAACGTTTTGGCCTCTTCATACATCATCTAAATTCACTAATATCTATATAAATTTGCGCACATATACATATTGTACGTATCTGAATTCATGCATAAATCTATTCAAATTATACCCAAAATATCTTATAATACGAAACGAAAAGAAAACAATATTTAGTTCATTCGTTTGTAACCTCAAATAATCATTACAAATATTCAGATATTGAGCTATTCAGTCAAAAGAACAATCCAAAGTGGATGCATACACAAATCAACTGCCAAAATAGATTTGTTTCAATCGATCTTTTTAAAAAGAAAGTTGGTTTGAATTGAATTCACTTAAATTTCTAAGTCAAATTCAGTTTAAATTTGTCCACAATTTAAATATTTCCTAGCGAGACTTTTTAAATAATTCCTTTTCTCCAAACAAGACAATAAATTTTCAATCTCTCTCCTATATTTCTATGAATAAATCCGGTAAAAATCATGCGTTACGCCTGTGCCAGCTAGCAGAGAACACTGAACACGTGAGTTTCATGCTTCCTAGTAATGTTTAAGGAAGGCAACAAAAAAAGGCCAACTGGACTTGCTTTCAGATTAGTGCAGTGGCTCAGATCGAACCGAGCTCGCATGCAACATGCAAGCAGCTTTGAGTTGTTTTAAAATATGAGATCGAATTGGTTCGGTCATGTTCTTTTCTGATTAAAATTCAGATATTACCTCTGTTCGTATTAGCGTGCTTTTTAAACAACTAAACGATACGTTACAGAAACTTTTTATACAGAAGTTGCTTTAAACTATCAGATATATCAATTTATCAGTTAGCAATAATTAAAACTTAGTTAATCATGTTTACTAGCCTTAGTGTTTTTGTATGGATTTGGTTGGCTGTGTACATTCTTCGGGATGTAGAAGCCGGGTTTTATTTAAATCCTTTATCTTAAAGAAAAGTTAATTATATGCTAATAGCTTTCTCGTTTCATGTGCGTTAACTTAATTTTTATGTGTGTTAACTTAATCTTTAACAGAGTGAGGACGAGGAGAGTGACGTGGCGTGGCTTACCGCGGGGTTGCGGGGGTCATCCTCGGGGATGTTGCGCTCCACCTTGCCGACGAGGTCGGCGCCGACGTCGGCCGCCTTGGTGTAGATCCCGCCGCCGACGCGGCCGAACAGCGCCATGGACGACCCCCCGAGCCCGTACCCGGTGATCGCCTCGTACAGCCCGCCCCAGTCGTCGCCGTAGTAGAGCCCGAACGCGTTCACGGCGGCGAACAGCACCAGCAGCGCGCTCGACGCCAGCAGGAACCCCATGGCGGCGCCCGACCTGAACGCCACCGCGAACGCCCGCCCGATCCCGCGGCGAGCCTCCAGCGCCGTCCTCGCGTTCGCGAACGTCGCCACCCGCATCCCGAGGTAGCCGGAGACCACCGAGGTGGTGGCGCCGAGGAGGAACGCCGCCGCGGTGAACGCCGCGTTCGCCAGCGCCGGGCGGCACCGCCTCGCCGCGTCGTACGGGCACGGCTCCGTCGACGTGGAGAACCGCCCCACGGAGCCCAGCGAGACGAAGATGACCGCCGCGAACGCCGCCATGAACGCGCCCAGGTACTTGTACTCCGTCATCAGGAACGACGTCGCGCCCACGGAGATGGCGTGCTGGATCTCCGCGCACCTCGCCTCCACGCCCCGGTAGTCCACGCCGTCCTCCTCGTCGTCGACGCCGTCGCCGTCGCCGTCGCCGCCGTCGCTCTCCCTCTCCACCTTCCCGGCGCCGCCGACGCCGTCGTGCGGCGGGACGGCCACCCTGGACACCATGTACCACTGGAGCACGGCGAAGAGGATGCCGATCACCGCCGCGAGCGGGATGAGCACCTCGGCCGCCACCGTGCCGATGAGCGCCATGGATGAACGAAGCGCAAAGCTAAGCTCGATCGAGAGCTCCAATGGAGGAGAAGACGAGCGAGTGATTGATTCTTGATGGAGAAGAGATGTGGAGTGGTGGTGATCACCAAGCTAAGCTTGCTCTTTATAGAAGGGAAGATGTCTCACTTTGCAATTACCCACCTGTATTTTAAGATAATTACAAACAAGTCCTTGTATAAGCTTTTTGGAGGGTGAATATGACATTTTTTTCCGCATATTTGTGGCTTGTGAGGGTCTAAATGGAAAGTTTGCTGGTGTTCTCTTTGAGCACTGAACAAACCATGCATTGGATCCAGTGTTCAAGATCAGTTCGACCGTTTGTTATGGCTTGGTGACAGCTTGTGCTCTCCAGGGACACCGTAGAGCTCATGCTGTACATGTGTATAAACATTTTTGTTGTTTTTGCAACTTATTTTGTCACTGTCTTCTATCTCACCAAGAAAAGTAGCGAAAAAGCCGCTACAAACGGCACCGTCTAGAATCCTTTACCGTCGGTTCAAATTAGGTGTATCTGACGCATGAGCATAAGTTATCTACGGTGCGTCTCATTGAGGTTTGGACGCACTGGAAATGCTGACGGACAATGCCATTAGGTAAGCTTTGGGGTTCACCCATATGCAACAAAATTTCCCTCATCATGCATCTAGCTACCTTCATTTCGAATGGTGGTTTTTGAATAAAACAACTCTGGGTCATGTAGATCTTTGGCACTTTTCTCTTCTTTGGTCAAAAGAAACTTGGAAAGGCTACTTGATTTATCTTGCTATATTTCAATTTCAAAGTTGTAAATGTCATAAGTTTTCCTGTGATGATAAACTTTAATAGTTTGCATCTCTCTTTGCTGTTAAGATGTATGCAATCCTGTTCTAATTGGAGGAAAGATGGCCAAAAGAAACCAAAGTTGTTACAGCTTCTAGTGAAAAAGCCATAAAAAAAGCTGTTCAAGGGAGCGCACTAGTGTCTTGTGCAGTACAAGTGTCGAGGTTAGATATAATAGGACAAATTAACTTAGGACGCGTTCGGTTCGCTCGCCCAGCTAGCCTAGCAGCACTAAACCATCTATTTGCCAACTTGCTAGCCTTGTTGTAGCTCCTCTGTTTGGATGGTTTTGCTTCTTGTGGCAAGGATTAATGGCTAGCTGCTACAGATGAGTTCCTCTTGTTGCTGAGTTCTTCCATAAATCAATTTTTCCTTTTAGATCCAGACTGATTGTTCGTTGTATTTATGGGTTGGTGGAGAGGGCAATTTACAACAAAATTTGAGCGAGCGAGAGTTCACAACAAGATCTGGAAGAAGAGGCCGACAAGATTGGGTGAGTCATTGAAAAACATCGCTAATTTTACGGCGCCAATTTCATAGAAGTCTGCATCGCCCTTGTTCCAATATTTTCACGCGAACGGAGTTTGCCGTCGAAGGAGAGCTAAATCGGTTCTCACTGGCTAGCAAGAATTTTCTTGCCCTGCAAAGCTAGCTCGTCCCCAAAACCAAAAGCCAGATTATTTTACCAGTTCCAAACGTGTAGCTTTACTAAGCGAGGTTAGGATGAGCCTTGCCCAGGATCCAAACGTGCCCTTAGGCCCCGTTTGGCCTCAAGACAACATTTCTTTGGTAATGAACCTTTCTCGCTTTCAACATTTTGATGGTTTGAACGACAAGTAATTATCACTTTAAATGTTTGAACTGAAATTTAACCGTAGAGAAATAAAGATTAATTTGTAATGAACCGGAAAGTAACATTTTGCATGTCGAGAATGATATGTGGGCCTAGAGCAATATGCCAATGATAAATACAACAACATTTCCATCTTTGTGAGCTTGTGATGGTGTCATGGTTATATTTTCGTGTTGCCATGCTTTCAACACACTTTGGTTTGTTCACTAACAAGGACTCCCTCATTTCCATTTTAAGCATAACCATGAGTTTCTGTCTATTTGGGCTAGTAACCAACCTCCTCTTTTTCTTACCTTCTCTTGAAGTTCTCCTAACATTAGGTAGAAAATGTTTTGTTTTGAATGAAATAAAGAAACGCTTTTACTATATTATTTTTAAGAGAGAATCCGCTGTGTGTCACTGAATTTATTCATATTCTATAATATGCCATTAAGTTTGTCAAGATCTACAATATACCAATAACATACCATCGCCGACTAGTTAGATTCGATTAGTACTGTATAATTATCCTAATGACATTAATAACTCTGGGACAAAAATTTCTAAAATTTGGCCAAAAATTTCGAAATATTAGCATAGAAGAGAGATTGTCCATCTCAAACTTCGCAAAAATGTGCACTTTTAAGTAAGTAAAAAAAAAGAAGATAAATAAAAAAAAGAAAGAAGATACTCGAGTATCCTCCTCCCCCTTGGCGTAAACGAAAATCTCCCGTCTCGTCGTCTCCTCCGCTCCTTGCGCCAGCCAAGACGAGCCGCGGCTGCCGATCGCCATCGCAGGGGAGGGGGAGGGGGATCCTGGTGAGCATCCACGTCCTCTTTCTGATTCATCTCTCTCTCCCACCGGGAATTTGCTTGCGTTAACCCTAGCTTCTCTTCTAGTCTAGATCTGGAAGAAGCTCTCCTCCTCCTCTTTTTTACAGCCTTAAACCTCTCTTAAATACAACCAGTAACAGTTTTTTTTTCTTTTTGTTCCCCAAAAAATTTGGGGGTTCAACTGAACCCCCCATGTCCCAAGTTCGGAGTGCTTTGATTTGCGCCTAAAATGCTCTGCACAAACTCAAGGCGACTTTCATAAATCGGTGGAGTCTTTTTTGTTCATTATCCGAGGTTATATTCTTATTGTGTGTAGCATTGGATGTTAATGATGGGAGAAATCTATCTAGTATATTAAGTTATAGGAAATCTTGATAGTTCTTCCTGGTGTGCACTTGAGAGTAGGCAAATGCACTAGCGGGAACAAACCAGTGTTGTTCAGTGGCTGTACCCTAATTAGGTCACCAGTTGAATCACATGCTTGTTGTATTATCCAAGTGTATGGATTTGTGGAGCTTCTGTATGATGATAACGTCTTGTATTATGTAGGTGCATTCGCAATACGAAACTATGGAGCTGCTATCTTATATTGTAGTAATGTTGTATGAATTCAGGGAGCTTCTGTCTTATGTAGGCTCATTTCACAACAGGAAACATGCAACTGTTAGCTCAAATGGTTTGTTCTCACTCTTGTAGTTGCTGGGTTTCAAAGCCAGCTGTGGGCTCTTTCTAGCATTTAGGACTAACTGTGGGCTGAGTTGCCTTGGCAACTTGAAAACTGTATGGGCCAACTAGGATCTCTGCGGTGGACCGGCTCAACTTAGGCACTGGATCTGGTATCTCTGGTCAGACCATGGGGCTGGTACAGATCTGATGATGCTAAAACAAATAGATGTATGCTGATGGTGCAAGCTGCGCAAATGTTTTGCGGTTTTCTCATTTCCCTTGACTATATTTTTCTTGGAGATATGTGAAAAGTTTATGTAGGAGGACATTATAGCTAGATTTGTGAAAAGTTTATGTAGGAGGACATTATAGCACAACTCTTTTGGTAGATCTGGTTCCTTCTCTACACTTGTTGTGTGTGATATGCATATCATAGATGTTACATTCCTGAAAAAGTGCAGCATTGAATTAAGAATACCATTAAATTGAAATTTTTTAAGTGTATACACCTAAAAGGTTGGATCATGGTTTTACATGATGGCGTATTGGCGTTACAAGGCCAAAGCCAAATATACCCAGTCTTTTCCATCAAGTGGAATCATTATCCATTTTTTTTCTTTGCCGTTTAATCTGATGCTCCTAGTTGTGTATATACTGAATTTGTTCATGCAGACATGAGGAATTTCTGTTGATGTGTCATGTCCTTGAAAATATGTTTGAAATTTTATATTCCTTTTATCAACATTGCAAGTGTGCAATTCATCCTTGTTAGCAGAAGGGGATGCAATTCCTAGCTCTGTGCCGCAATCTCTTAAACATTTGTTGATGTTACTTTTATTGAAAGACTGTTGCATGGGCATAGGCTGACATCTTGAATATTGGGTCTTTTTGACAGGCAATCAACCATGGTTTTCCTTAAGGTGGAGATGTCTTTGAATGTGTTGATCTCACCTAGCCAGCTGAGCCCCCAGGGTCTCTTGCTCCGCAAGGCTGTCATTGTCCGCCTTCTGGAGGATATAGCAAACCGGAAGGCCTCCAAGGATCATGGTTACTACATTGCTGTGAGTGAGCTGAAGGCGATATCAGAAGGGAAAGTGCGTGAGCTGACCGGAGACGTTCTTTTCCCGGTGACGTTCACCTGCATCACGCAGAAGCCTATGAAGGGCGAGGTCTTAGTTGGCTCCGTGGACAAGATCCTCAAGCATGGCATTTTCCTCAAATCTGGACCGATAGAAAGCATCTTTCTGTCGGAGAAGACGATGAGCGACTTCAAGTACATTGGTGGGGAGAACGCGGTGTTCATGAATGAACACTCGAAGCTGGAGAAGGACACCGTCGTGCGCTTCAAGGTCATGGGGTTCCGCTGGATGGAAGCCGATCGCCAGTTCCAGCTCCTTGCTACCCTGGCTGGTGACTATCTTGGACCACTATGAACTGCTTCTAATGGTGGCTCTGCTGCACATTTTGCTACCTTGATGAATGGATTTGAAATGTGTTAGCCTTAACCTGCTGTCTGTAGTTTGGTGTCGTGATGACTGATCATACCTGTATCGTATCTGTGATGCTGGTTGTTGATGTAAATGGCATTAGGCCATATGTTTAGCATTTCAGCATGATGAGAATTGTCATGGCTGATGAACCTCTATTTCCTATGGCTGCTCACCGTTCTACCATGCATATATTTGCTGCCTTCCTTTCTGAGATATTGCCTTTCCAGTGTAGAATTTGCATTATTTCTCTATGCAATTACTTCCCTGTCACAATCAGCTCATTGTGACAAGTAGCATAATACTCCCAAGATCATGAGGTTCAACAGAAAATTAGTCCTGCCAATTCCAAGATTTCCATCACAAACAATCGAAAACAAAAATGTCTGTTCGTGATTGGAATACAGGTTGGAACACGTATTGCAGCCCATGCTATCATCTCATCTCAAAGATAGATCAAGATTCAAAAACGTGCAAAGGAGCCTCTGAAAATTGAGGCCCTTGCTGAAGAATGATATTGCATGAAGCACATGCCCTGATAAGACATTCAGTGTGAAAAAAAAAACAGAAAAAAGAACATGCTCAAGTTGCTTGCGTCACATTGCATATCAGAATTGCTAGACAGGCAACACAGACTGCTATGGGAAACAGCAGGATCCATGCTGAATGATCTTGCATGAACCGTGCTCTGATAAGACATTCAGTGTGAAAAAACAGGAAAAAAAATTGCTCAAGTTCAGCACAGATTGCTAAGAAAAACAGCAGGATCCATTTCATAGTCAGGCTCAGAGAGTGCAAGCACAAAGTACAACTGAGCGTCTTCAGTTGACTTCGTTTATTATTACAATTACACTGCATGGTGGTTCAATATGTTTCAGATAGATGGACAAAGATTTAAGCAGACTATATAACACATGGATATTTATGACAATAGGATCAACCATCGGCTGTCTTGACAACTGTGACTGGGCAAGTGGCGTTGTTCACGACGTAGTCGCTGACGCTACCTAACAGCACCCTGAAGGAACCAGGAAGAGGAATGCAAAGGTTAGAACTGGCAATGATGTGAACAATGTGCATCAATAACAATGGGGGGAAAAGCTTTGGTTACAACCTCTTGAGTTTGCCAAGACCCCTGCTTCCAATAACCAAGCAGCTCATGGGGATTTCGTTGATGGCTTGGCATAGCTTCTCACGGGGATCTCCCCAAAGGACTTTGAAAACCACCACAACCTGTATAAAAGAACCAAAAACCTTATAATATTGCAAGGGAGTGCCAATTAATTGAACCATATGGTATTGAGAGAGTGATCACCTCCTTCTGCCTGGCCACAGTATTAAGCATGTCCAATGTTTCGGCATCAGGCTTTGCTCCATATTTCTTTGCAATTGTAGGTTCAGAGAAATCCGAGAGGGGAATCAATGCTGTATATTAAAAAAACCCAACGAAATCAAGATGTTAAGCAGTCCTTGTTTGCAGACTAGAATAATCAGCACTGAGTGAATAATAATTAATTGCAGAATAACCTTAATAACATATCAACAAAACAGAATCCTTCACTTGCAAGTAGTCTGAATTGGAAATGCATCATGCAAACACACACCTTAATAAGAGATCAGCATAACATAATCCCTCACATGCAACTAGCGTGCGCTGGCGACGCAAAGCACAAATACATGGCCAATACTTACCATTTATGTACATGACAAAATATTTCACTGATGAGTGTTTCAATACTCACAGTATTATTAAGTGCAGTGTAGGTAAATACTCTAGCTGCAAACTCCAAAAGTTTTTTTTTGACCAGGAGCAAACTCCAAAAGTTTGGACAGCTTGTGACATCTATCTTTATAATGCGAAACATGGACATTGTGCGCAACTGCATATGAAAGATGAACTATCTACCATTTTTCCTAAACTGTTCACCGAATCTTAAACTGGAGATATAGCAGGATGTGGGTAAAGATTCTGAAGATACACAGTCACCCATTAATGGTAAGTACACTAGGCCGTGATTCTGCCACTAGCCAACTAGCCAAGTAACCTGTTCTTGCAAAAATGTTTGATGAGACAAAGATGATGCACTATGGTTTGCCTGAAGGATATCAAGGTGAATGATCCCAGGAGCTGGCAGTACACAATTAGCAACAAATTATCGGCCAATCCACTAGTCAATCATCGTTTCTGGGTTGCACAAAATGGTGTCTGGTAAATCAACGGTCGATTCCATTATGGTAATGGGCAAACTAACCCAACCTCACACAAAGAAATCACCCAAACTTAAGTAACCAATCAAGAAACATCATCTACTACGCGCCAAATAAGCAAAAATCCAAGAAGCAGTCCACAGTGACTGAGAAGAGTAAATCACTGAATCACTCAGCAAAAGAAGCTGAAAAGCATCACTGATTAATCCTCTCGATCTGGTCATCGAACAGAGCCTACGCGTGGAATCCATCATCATGCAGATCATATCCGACTTCGATTCGGATGGGATGGATGGATCAACCAACAAGAACAGTAACGCGACTACGCGAGCGCCATGGGAGGTAGAAGTGGAAGAGAAGGGAGAGGAGGAGCGTACGGGAGCCGGTGGCCTCCCAGAGGAGGGTCTCGCCCTGCTCGTAGTCGGGGTCCTTGAGGACGTGGAGGAGGATGAGGTGGTCGCCGGCGCGGAGCAGGTTGTCCGCCGCCCACCGCAGCGCCGCGCGGCTCCCCTCCGAGAAGTCCACCGCCGCCCCCACCCACCGCTCCGCCGCCGCCGCCTCGCCCGCCATGCTCGCTGCTCACCTCGCTCTCGCTGCTGCTTCGTTCTTGGCTTGGCTTGGCTTGCTCTTGCAGCTTCTTGGCTTGTGGAGGTCACTGTGCTGGAAGGGATGGGGAAGCAAGGTAGAAATACTCGCCTGCTTGTTCTCCCTTTATTCTCTTTTCACTATTTTATTCTCAAACAAGAAATTCATAAGCATATTTGTTTGATCCAGAGTTTTAGACATGCCTATCTTGATGCCAGGGATGGTTTTTTAATCTATTTTTCTTATTAAACTTTTATTTTTCTTCAATAAGAGGATATTTGTTGATGCAAATATGTGTTAAAAAAGTTATAGTGTTTGCTCTTTGGCTTATCAATCGTAGTCAAAGTTTAAATTTTAAATTTATATTTTATTTTTATGATTTTTGATTTTATAAAAACACATATGTAAATATATTACACATAAATTACTTTTAATTGCTAAAAAGGTTACGGCTTATAATCAAAGCTGTTATGCTTTCTTAATAAATACTCTCTTCGCCCCCATAAAATTATAAGTCGTTTGATATTTTGCTTATGAAAGTTCTTTGGGAAAAAAAGCAACATCTGTAACACCAAATTAGTTTCATTAAATTTAATATTAAATATACCTTGGCAATATGTTTACTTTGTATTGAAAATAGCGGTATATTTTCTACAAACTTGATTAAACTTATAGAAATTTAATTAAAAAAGAGTCAAACAATATATAATTAACATATAATTGAAGAGTAACTGTTAGGATATTTATTGGTGCAGTCTACTACTTTCTCTAGGGAAAAGAAGGAAAATGAAAATGAGAGATCTTCACATTATTTGTTGAGCCACAGGGCCTTTACTTTCATGTGAGGAAAAAGGAGAGAAATTGTCTAGAGTTGTGCTCTTTCTGCATGACAGCTGGCCAGCATCTGTATGATGATGATCCACGTTGACAAGCAGTCAGCCATGCATGTGTTTCTCCATTTATTTTTTTTGTTTGGTTCCTCTTATCTTGTTAGCTTGTTGTCAATCAGTATTCAAGTGTTAATTTGTCTGTTCCTGTTCTTCAAAATAGTCATGAACCTGTATTTCTTCTATCTAAGATTTTTTTTTTCAAAAAGAAAAGGCGCAGCTAGTTTTGCAGAATGATGAGTTGACCGTGCACTTCCTTTCTGAAGAGGAAAAATGGTGATAAAACAAGCAACAAAGTTTTAATTATGGTCCATATTTTCAACCAAACGCATAATAAGAGACCTTTTCAATTATTTATAATCCATCAATAATATAGTAATGCCACCCAAATTGTAGAACTTTAAATTTAATTGCTCCAAGATAAAATGTCAAAATTTAGCAACTTGCACATGTTCTTTCTCAATCAACAATAAGACAACCAATTGGGTCCCTTGAAAAAAAAGCAAAACATGTGTGCAAGTTGTTCAATTTGTATTTACAAAACAAGAAAGTAAAAACACCATACATAATAATATATGCGTGCACCATCAGTCCAAAACGTCATGTGCCTATTGCGAGAGCGACCGCTCATGGTATAAGATTCCTTATCCAAAGATCATCCACATCCAATTGACCTGATATTAAGAAAAAAAATGCAATATATCTTTTCTAGAAGTATTTTGGCATCTAGAATCTGGAGTTCTGGACCATTTAAAATGCAACAAAGTTGAATTATTTTATTCTATAGTACATGTCCACGTCAAAACCTTCGTTGTCCACTGAACTATATAGAATATTCAAGGTGTACATGCAAACAACAAATGGATTTTTACACCTTTCTTATGGAGTTTTACATGGACTTTATGGAAAGCATGTTGTGACATCCAATCTCAGATGGAATATCTCCTACTTACCAAGCTTAAGAGTAAGTTAGTGATTGATCTGCTGACTGTTGGATTACTGATTTTTGCCACTTAGCCAGAAATGGTTGGTCCCAACTCCCAAACTGTTCATTGGGCAATCAGTTGGCAGAATACCTTCTCACCTTGGCTTACCTTCACAATGCAACTTCCATACTAACTAACTGGATCAAAGTTATCCTATATCTGGATGAGAACTTGGAGATGCCATTTACTAGTTTCAGAGACTTGGCAAGGTTGGGTAACCTTTCACAGGCCCGACTAGTGATAGAGCTTCTTGTAATGCTTCCAGGAGATAATCTGGGTGGTCCTCAATGCGTGCATGGCCAAATTGTGCCGGTATTTTGCGTAGAACTCTTCCAACAATCTGCAACTCATAAGAAAAAACAAAATGAGCAAAACATGACATACAAGACTATTCTAGCAATGATTTCACTTAGAATCCTATCGGATGAGAAATGCAACTCATAAATAAGAAAAATAGAGATCAACATTCATTTAACTAGTTGCTAGGTGTTGGTGCGTCCACTGACAGTATCTATGCTTTAGCCTTTCTATTCTAGCAGGTATTTGCTGAATACTTTAGTATCATTCCAATAAAAAACACTGTAAATGTAATATCAAGAGCAAACCTTGCGAGCATAGCCGCCATAAGCTATCCCTCCAATAAAGGCTTGCTGACAATCAGTCACTCCAGAGGTTGCTGCCCCTAAGTTTCAGTAAGATAAATAAAGTTGGATAGTTCATGGATTAAATAAACATATTACCAGAATATAAAACATTAGTTTGATTGCTCAGTTTCAAAAGGCATAGGTTTAATTGCACACAGTTTAATAGTTCAAGGGCTTAAAATGTGATTTTGCCTAAAGTATTCTTTGACCTCATAAGTTGAACAAGAAAAGGAACAAAGTAAACAAAATCCGGTGACATGTTAAAAAAAAGTAAACAAAATACCAGGAAAAGTTGTAGATTGGAAAAGACCAGCTTTCTTTAGGGATTCTATGGTGTATGAGTTGGTGCCACCAGCCAACTGATAGAAGCCTTCAAAACCATATTATTAGAAAATACTTAGAAATGTGGATGATAACAAAGCCATAACGAGTTTTTTTTTTTCTAAAGATTGACTTTGTTTACCAGGAGGCCTATTTGACATTGAAGACAAATGAACAGCAAAGGATACTGTTTCCCTCGTTGCACCTCGGCCTATGTCGCCACTCATCGGCCGGCCATCTAACTGCTTGTATAAATAAGGTAACTTGAATAACCTCAGATTTTGAGCATATGGATATGGATATGGATATGGATAAGGTTCAGATTATGACATGAAGTGGACCAGCAAAGCATTTACAGAAAAACAGAATGTAGAATCAACTAGCCAACACCAAGAAAATAATTGTCCTAATAGAATTTCAAATTGCTAAAAGTATAGTTATGAACAGTATGATCATGTACAGACAAATTAGAATCTGCAGTTGATACATTTGTTCTCTTCATAGCAAACCTGCCAAAGATTATAGCCTTGAAGATGGGACTGCATTGTTGTGTATATTGCATTCATTAAATTAACTGTTGAATCGCCAACATCAGGCAGGCTGACCTGAAAGGTATGAGTTTTTTTTTTATTCATTATGATGGTAAATGCAATAGGAAACATATCCATCATGAAACAAAGTGCAAACTTACTGCAATCAGCTTCACATTATTGATTGACTCACCCAAGTTGCTCCAGAGGGTATTGAACATATCAGTTCCCCTACAGTAGCAAAAAAAGTTCAGATTAAGTGGTCTGAGTAATGGAGAAAAGGTAAATGTTACTTGGTATAAAAATCATCAAAGAAAAACTTACGTACTTTCCAGTGGTATGTATCTCTATTGCATCAACATCATTCCTTTTCAACAGTTCAGCAGTCATAGCAGGATCTCGAACATACGACATAGCTCCTGAAATGTTTTCAAGCAAGGCTTGTAGCTTCTATAAGATACACAAAGGCGTGGAAGTATCAGATTATGCTTAAAAACATAGGGATGCTACATATACATGTAAAGAACACTGTGGGAACAAAGGTCATGTAAACTATTGTCATGATGCCATAAAGGAAAAACGAAGGAATGCATTACTCAGTGCTCACTTATTCTGTCATAAGGGCAAACCGACAAGCATCGTCCACAGCCGTAGCACCGCTCCGTAATTACACCACCCTACACAAGACATCAGAGGTCAGGTCATAAAATGAAATGAAGAGAATAAACAAAAGCAGAATAAAGTAAACAAACCAATTGATACCTCAAGTTTTCCACATGAAGGATCAGACTGAGAGTGCTCTTCCTCAATCATAACCCTCTCTAACAATATTGCATCAGCAGGACAGACTTTCTCACATGGCTTTGAGCAATCTGGTGGGCAATCCTCAGGATCAAATTCTAGAGAAAAGAGAAAGGAAGTGGAAACCTTTAGAAGCAAAGAACAAAGGTATTCAGAAATCCATAAACATGCAACAGGTCTTGCTAGTGAAAGCAGGAAACCAAGTTCATTTAACATGATACAGCAGAACTTTCTTTTAATTTCAAATTTTCCATACTCAAATGAGGATAATAAAAACGAGACTGTTATTTCAAAGTGGCATTAACAAATATCCAAAAATAAACTCAAAATATAGAGTACAACTTTTGTAAAGAGCACATCATTTACCAGCTTTACGGAAATGAAGATCTCTGCAATCGTCATTAACACTAACCATCACCCATGGCCTTTGAACTGCTGGCACAATTGAGGCTGCTACATCAATACCTTCATTCACTGCACCCACCACAGATGCGTCTGCTGCACAATCAATGCAATCCACTGCATACACAAAATCAGTCCATGATTATCAAGAGTAGATTAACCTAGCACAATGGAATCACTGAATATACAGCTATTTTACCAAGTTTTTGCCAGGTCTGCCGAAGGAGAGGCGGACCAAATTTCATTAAGATCAAGGGTATGCACAAATTTACAAACTTCGAATTCCGACAAGAAGCTGTCGAAACAAAAGGAGGTCGCTAGGAAAACCACCTCCTGAAAACAGCTATTTTACCAAGTTGACATGATATTTTTCAAACACCACCCATTATGTTATGATGCCAGTCTGAATTCTGAAATGCTACATATATGCTCCACAAAAATGTTTATAATTAGAGCAACAAGCATACCTCCGGCAAGCGTGTATACAAGGGAGAGATTCCTGACATCGGCAGCATCCTACACAAGAACAAGAAAATCACATCCCAAGCATTTCACAATTTCCATTCACACTATCACCATTGCTAGTTTCATTACTCAATATAAATTCAAAATCGATGTCCCCGAGACGAGGGATTTGCACCAACTTCATCAGAAATCGTTCCTTGACAGGTCAATTGAGCTGGGTTTCCCTTTGCAAAATTAACAAAATGACAAGAGCAAAAAAAAAAAAATCTCTCTCTCTCTCTCTCTCATTTCTCATCATATCTACTCCGTTCGCAGCGCTGCTCCTCCATCCCCACTTCTACAACTCGCAACTCAGTCGCTTGCAGGGAAGGAAGCGGAAGTGTGCTACTACCTCGAAGCTGGCGCCGCAGATGAGCTTGACCCAGTCCCCGCGCCGGAGGGCCGCGACCTGCGGCGGGTGGTGGTCGCCGGCGAGGCGGCCCCTGCGAGCGGAGGCCGCGGCTCGGACGGCGGCGTGGGAGGCGAGCAGAGACCTCGCCGTCGGCGGCGCCATGGCTTCTCCGGTGGCTGCAGCTTCACTGAGCCAATCGCGATAGCCTCATCGGCGGCGGAAATATCTTGGAGACCGGAGAAGCATCTCCATCCGTCGATCTTGGAATCAACGGCTTGATCTGATCGCGTATAATAGTAGGAGATACGAAAAGGGCTGACATGGAATAATACTATTTTATAAGGTCTCATTTGCAAAAATGTAGGATTCTCTGAAATAAACAGGGACTTGTGTGAAATTCCCGATCGAAACAAACGCAGAAACACGTATTTGTAAAATTCAGGCCAACGTCAGGTCGTCAGGGGCTCATTTGTAAAATTCAGAATAATGTTCCTTTTTTTTTTTCTTCCAATGAGACGAGTAGGAATTAGTTAGTGCAAATATTTCTCAAAGATTATTCTTACCACGCTTGATTCATCGAGATAATGATCTGATCTGACAGTAACTGATAATGGCAATATTTTACACAAATTTAGGATCTGAAACTTACCTGACGCTCAAGTTTGTGACAGCTAGTAGTTGTCAATAAAGTGCATTATCTGCTTCCTTTGTTACAACAGTTTTTTGCCGAAAGAGGCAGAATCTTTTGAAATTCTACAAAGAACTTTCATGATTCTCATTTGTTTATTCAAATCATTTCAATCTTTGTGACCCAGCTAGCTTAAGGTATCAGAAGAGAAAAGGGGAAAATTAATCGAAGATTATTCTTACCTCGCTTGATTCATCGAGATAATAATCTGATCTGACACTAGGTGATAATGGCAATATTTTACACAAATTTAGGATCTGAAACTTACCTGACGCGCTCAAGTTTGTGACAGTTAGTAGTTTGTCAATAAAGTGTATTATTATCTGCTTCGGTTTGCTCCTTTGCTACAACAGATTTCTGCCGAAAGAGGCAGAATCTTTTGAAATTCTACAGAGAACTTTCACGATTTTCATTTGTTTATTCAAATCATTTCAATCTTTGTGAATCAGCTGCTAGCTTAAGGTATCAAGAACAAAAGGGAAAAATTAATCGAGCATGCATGTGCAGTTCATTTGCAGCAGAATGAGGGATAATAAACTAATTGATTGATTAACAAAACGCGTATTGGAGAAAGCAAACTAAGACCTGGAAATTGACGTCCATTTCAGTAGTATTTCACACCAAAACTATATACTAATAACTCAAATCACATTGACCTTTGTTTCTAAGGTAGACTTATCCCCTTGTACGGTCCAATTAATCTAATTGCATTCTTAATTAACCTTAACTAACCAACCAACCAAACCTGCTGGCTGTTGCTCAACTGCAGCCACATATGGATGCATCAACATAATTAACTAATTTCACTAAAAGAACATAATTAACTAACTAGATGATCATCATTAATTATATGATCAATTGCATAATCTTCTCCATGGAATCTTCCTAGAAGTTGCACATATATCTTCAATACATATGCTTGCTCATGGGCAGCACCACCAACTATAGTTAATCTTGTTCCGCAAATCGCGCTGTTGATAGACAGATCGACGGCTGGCGCGAGTGACACGTGTCGTCGGCTCGTCAGATATATATATGCAGGATCAGAGATCATGAGGTACATTGCATGTACATATTATTGTAGTGGTGGCCAAGAGGAGAATATTTGTCATTGTGGGAGAGCATGAGAAGAGAACATGGCAAAATCAAGCCCCAAATCAGGGAGATTAATCTACATGTGCAATGCAATATATTGCAAATTAATATCTCCATTTGCCCTGATTGCATGGCACATTGGGTGGCTATCATGATCAGCTCCCCATAGGGGAACATGGTGGCACACAATGTGAGTATAATCTATGATTCTATATTATAATAGCATCCTCTAAACACACTTAACTACACACAAGGTACATTTATATACCATGCACTAGCTACATAAGTATATACATGTATATCATCTTTTTTTTAAAAAAATGCATGTTGCACATGATGCAGGAGAGGAGAGGAGACTTTTTCTCTCTATGCATGCATGAACTTTTGCTGAGGTGGCAGCAGTCCACATGACACACAACACATGCATAGAGATATTAGAGAGTTGATGATGCAAGGGTATAGCCAGGGTGTTGTGATGAGGAGGCAAATCAAAAGGGAGCTTAGCTTAGCTAGCTAGTGCATGCACTTACATGCATGCTAATTCATGGTTGGTTGGTTTGGTGGTGTGCTTGGATACATGAGAGAGAGAGACAGGTGTTGTGTTGTTGGCTGTGTTAAGGTATATATGATATGATCATGTGGTGGCATGTGGCCTTGAGTTAGGAGAACATGCCCTCATGGCCTCATCCTCAAGCAAAGCTAGCCTCCTTCCTCTCCCATGCATGCATGCACTCTCACACACTAATTAACATAACATTTTGTATCATGTAAAGAGCATTATCCACACATCATCTAATAGCTAGCCATGTTTCATGCAATTAATTAAGCTTGTGATCACATATCAATAATTAATCTCTAACTTTCCATTCATGCCACCTAATTCCCCCACATATACCCCCAACCTTCCAACCTAGCTCCAGCCTTGTACCCTCCTAACCCCCTTCTATATAACCATCTCTACCCCCTCTCTCTAACATACTTAGCCATTTTCACACATCATCATCATCTTCTTCTTCATCTTCATCATCATAATCATCGCCATTGTTACTACTTCGCTAATATAAGCTCTACTGCTCTAGCAATGGTTGCACACGCCACCATCAACAATGGCCGTTGCGACGCCGCGCCGGCGGCGGCGGCGAAGTCGAGGCCGGCGGTGATGCCGCCGCCGGCGAGTAATCATGGGGCGGCCTGCAAGAACTCCGGTAGCAACAAGGAGAGGAGGAGGATGAGGCGGTGCGTGGAGGTGAGGAGGAAGATGGAGGCGCTGAGGAGACTCGTGCCGGGCGGCGGCGGCGGCGAGGATTCCGGCGAGGAGCTCCTGTTCCGCGCCGCCGACTACATCGCGCGGCTGCAGGTGCAGGTGAAGGTGATGCAGCTCATGGTGGACGTGCTGGAGCAAACGAAAGATTGATTGATTAGCCATTCTTGATTCATTATTTAATTATTGATTAGGCTTAATTAATCATCAGAGGTGTAATACATATACAAAGCGTATTATTTGCGCTGTATACGTGTACGGATTTTTTTCTTTTGTTTTTTTGTTCTCTTTTTTTTTCCTTTGTTTCGTGTTTTTGACACGTATAAAATAGGGGTTATTTTATACGGGACCTGGCTATTTAATTTGTTTGTTGATTGTGTCGGTGTGTATGTACATACGTATAGTAGTATGTATGTGTATATGTGCTACGGTTGTATATACATGAGTATACATTAGTTTTATATGTATACATTAATACATACATGTACATATGCGGTGGTAATGTCATCTTTAATTTGGTGTTAATTACTTGAGTATTATTGGTGCATATTCAAAGCTTTACTCTTCTCTCTCTATGGGTACAAAAGAATAACCAGCCATAAATCCACATGTGTCCAGGTTACTTAAATTAGAATGGGCAGATTATATATTAAAAAAAAACTACCCAAAAGAATAATGATAAAAGATGCCTTGTTTTTATCTGGATTATTTGCTTCAAGCTTCAAAAAAATATGTTTTCTTTAAATATTTTCTATTAATGCATTTGTTTTGGACGTGATTATACTGTTGCACAGTTTTCTTCTACTGGATTGTTGTGATAAAATCAATTGTATACCCACCACGATCTAACAATGTTTTTATTTTTCTTCAAACACGTGCTAATTTATACATTGCTCCAAATTTAAGGACCGGTCGTATACTTTACTCTATGGGCGGAGCTTCTTTCTTAATTTAGTCAACTTTTGATCAAGTTTAAGCTAATGTGTGTGTCTAAGTTTATATTGAGGGAGGTGTACACATGATGAAAAATGGTGAGTTATAACTAAAAAAATTTCTTCAACAGGTTCCTAAGCACCCCCTCCCACACTCCCTCCCATACACTACCTCCGCCCCTGCTATTATATATGATGATAAATTTGGGAAGAAAGGAATAACAATTAGTAAGGTAACAAATCAAACATATTCTAACCAATACGACCTTACTAAACATTGATAATACAAGAAGTTTCTAATCTTAAAAATTTTATCAAGATTTGACAAGGTTTCAAACTAAACGCAATAACCAATTTACCAAAATTTGATTGAGCCAAAAATTATCATTATTAAAATTTGGTAATGTTGAAAATATACTATTATAAAAATTGAAGATACTGCTGATACTTTGGTACGTCGTCCGTATCTGAGTATGTTTTTAAATTCGTTTGCTTTTGAAAATACATAAGGAGTCGTATAAGAAATCCTTTTAAAAACATCACATGCTAATTTGGGACGAAAGTTAGACTCCTAATTGTTTTATGACTCTCGCCAAACCATAAAAAAACGACATTATTATCATCATCCCAATAAGGAACTACTTCATCTGTTTCACAATGTAAATCATTTTAGCATTTCCCATATTTAAATTGATGTTAATAAATCCAAACATATATATCTATCTATATTCATTAACATCAATATGAATGTAGGAAATGTTAAAATGATTTACATTGTGAAACGGATGAAGTAGTATTAAAATAAAAATCTCGTATATAGTTTCTAGAAAAAAAAACAATAATAAGATTAAAATAACCCTGCAACGCACGGTATTTTTTTTCAAAAACCCTAAAATTACCTAGCGGCGGCGATCTGGGCGGCGGGGGGCGGCCATGCCCCCCAAACCGAGGAGATCGGTGGCGGCATTGACCGTAGGCGGCCACGACGCTCCCAAATCGTCGCCGGCGATGTCGACCCGGTCCAAATCAACGCCGGATTCCGATCTCCGCTCGCACGACGGCAGCAATCCCAGTCCCGAATCGTGGTCCGGGAGGTTGACTCGCTCCAGAGCAAAGCAGATTGGACTGGTTCTTCCGATTCAGGCGGTGGAATCGCCGGGAATCTCTTCCAACAACAAGAAGAAGAGGAAGAGGAGAGAGATTGAGGAGGAGACGGCGAAGAAGCAGGCGCAGATGTCGGCGGCGGCGGCGGCAGGTGTGATACACAGGGAGGGGCATGGCACATTGGCGTCCCGGCCACTCCCGCCGATGCACCCGCAGACGACACCCCGCGTCAGAAGAAGCTCCCGGATCACCCGGCTCGAAGGTGGTTTCAGCTTTCGATCCACCACTGTTTCTTGTTCAATTTCTTTTTTGTATACCTATCATTATTAACCATGTTAATTTCTCCCCATTTCTTGTTCTTCAGTTGATCGACTTCAGAAGTTAACTCTCCGGCGCGATAAAGAAGACGAGCCCTCCACCGCGGCCGCCTTGCCTACCCCATCTCACAAGAACATGGTGTTGGGCATGTCTCGCTCAATTGTCCGCGTTTCATTCCCATCTTCTGGTAATTTACTCCATCCGTCCCAAAATATGGCAACCTAGTTTGGAGTATGGACACATCGTAGTACGAGTTTGGAGGCATGTTCAGATTTTACTGGCTGAATCTACTATATTTGCTGCAGCTATAAGCTACTAAGTGAGCCATGTGCTAGCATGTCGCGTGTCGTTAATTGCGTTGTTTTACGCATTCCCTACCTAGCATTACATGAGAAAATCATGCTGCATCTCCACATGGGAATTACCGTGGATTTTGTGCTGAACTAGTTATTGATCAAGCTTAACTAGCTGCCGATGCTTAGGGAAAAGCCGGTGACATAGAAGAAAGCTACCGAGATAGGCATGTGTAGTCCAGCAACAAATGGGAAAATGTGTCGCAGAGAGAAAATATGTTTAGTATTCAGTAGCCCGATATAAAAATATGTATTTATCAGCTCCTAGCAATGTAGCTACCTTCTAATCAACTGTATGTTTTTCAGAGGGCAAATTGATCTCTCCGCACACCGGAATCGTCATCAGTTGGGATGGAGCCACCAAGTGTGCTATGATCCTCACACTCTTCACTTACTTCAAGAAGAAGCCGCATGAGCCCCAACCCGAGGTGCATGACCGATTTCCATTAGCTAATCCCCATGTTTCTATCATCCGAGTTCCATTGCCATTTTTGTTAAGTATAGTATGGTCAAATGATTGCTAACTGTAGCTGGGCTGCTGTGCATTTGCTTTGTGTGAACTTTACTCTGCCCTCTGATTTCAATTCTCAAACATTATCATTGTCAAATTGATGTCCTTTTCTTGTATATCCTTAGTATTAGTTCCGTCTCTTTGTGCTTAAGATAAGTAACAATACACCATTAACCTTTCTTTTTCTCGCATTGCCTTCTCTCTCTATCTTCCAGCTACAGGTTCATCTCCCAGATAAGTCTATTGTGCAGGGACGGTTGAGATTCATGAATCGCCACTACAATCTCTCCATCTTGGAGATCACGTCTGAACTACCATTGTAGGTCCCCGCTTTTGGGTCCGCCCCAAAGTATGGCCAGGAAATTCTTGCCTTGTCTCGGGACGAAAATATGTCCCTGGTGGCGAGGCGTGGAGCAATCACGTGGTCGGATGGTTCTTTGATGTGGAGAAACCATTACATGTTTGTGGATTGTGATGTTCCTGAGGTACTGATACATTTACCTTTTCTTCACACTTGCTATTTATTTTACCATCTACATAGTAGTATTTATTTATTTATTTATTTATTTAATGCAGGGTGGTGAAGGAGGGCCTGTGGTTGGCACTGGCGGTAGTACCATTGGCATGGTATACATAGACGGCCCTGGTGCAGTTATCATTTCAATCTCAATTATTTGCACCTTCTTTGAGATATGGAAGCAATTCAGGTATATAATATTTTTCCATCAGTTTTGAATTTCTTTATTCTGTCAGTATTAAAATATACTGCAGGTTGAATCAAAATCGTAGAAAGTAACTTCTTTGTGATAACATCATATGTCTAAGATCCAAAAAGATGGTATGAAGGATTTACATTGCTACCATTTGTGACGCCCCACACTTTTATCACTAAAGATAAATGTGCGAGAACATAGATTATTATTTAACAACCATTATTTTGCCAAATAATAATCCACCATCAGAGATCGCAACAGAGGAATAGTTAGAGCTACCTTTAATTCGTCCCTAGGAGTATTAAGGCCATCTCTAATCCAGCTCACTCTTGCAAGGGATCAAACCTGTACAAAGGGGGTTATATAGCAAGGGTGAGCACTTTCGTACTCAGCAAGTCATTAGTAGCAAAATGTACACGCATGAATAATAATATATAACTCTATATACTACAATACTATACCTTACGTAACATCATCACCTTCATTGTCATCAAAAGTAAAGTATATTTCTATTTTGTAAAAGAGTTTTCAAAAGGAGATTTATAAAAGCTAGAGTACACTCGTACATTGAATAGAGTTTGTAGCAACTCCCCGTAGACTCCAATCCAGGAGACAGGCGTGAATCACGATTTAATTTAGCACTGCGCAGGCTTGTATCACTGTACCCATAGCTACTCTTAACATGTTTGATTGTCGCACTTCACTAGATACGGCACCATGCTAAGAGTACATAACTTTTCCCCTACTTCAATTTACTACACTCCACGTTTGTGTAGAGCCTATCAGCTCTCCACACCACCGCGCTACTATATGCGCTTGGAATGCACTTCATCGGCATTCATGGGGTTTATATCATCTCCCATTCTACTACTACGTACCCATGTGGAGTATAATAAACTTGATAAGGTACTAGGTCCAGCCCATCTTAAGACGGATCTATGGTTGACACGGTATATACGGTTCTCTGATACGAATGATGGGGTGATTAGTCCTTATATTTATACACCGTATGTAGGGAGAGCCCTGACCTGCCATCATCATCAATCATCTCATCCCTGAGCTCCCCCTACCCACCATACTAGTATCCCGATGATCTCCATCATCATCGGCTTGTCAATCATATCATCATCGTTCATATCATTATTCTAGAAAATATATATTGATGCAATACTAGGAGAAATATTTTTATGAAATAGGTTTTTAAGTTGAAATAGAATTATCTCTATCAACATGATCAAATGAGAGGGACTTGCCTGAGTTTTCTGTGATCGAAACTGAAATAATATACTACTGCCAATTGACACGTTCCAACTCTAGCTTCTTTCCTGAAATTTGTTATATACGCTGAGGCTTCAATAAAATTTCAGCACAAGAAATACAAATGCTCTCCAATTAAAATGTGCTCTGCAGAGTTTATTTTATTGTGCCAGCTTTCTTATGTTTAATAGCTAATTTATCTAACTCTAAGCTTGAACTGCACAATACTATTCCGGTAGCAGGTTCAATTTAATGACTTGTGTAGTCTAGTAGTGTACATCTAGCAATTTAATCCCCTTCCATTCTCTCCTTCTCTCTCGAACAGATAAGGCAGCAG